TGGTTGATGTTTATTTCAAAACGCTGCATGACCTGGCTTGTTCAGTGGTCTCTCATGTACTAACACTCTCCATGTATTATTATTATTTTTTGCCATTTGTAGCAAATGAGTTTTTTATAATTGCAGAAGGGGAGTAAACTGGAATATATTGAATGCAATGTGAAAATATGACCTGTTTGTGCAACTGCCTTTCCGAATGCCTTTGAGTTCTTTCTGTCTCCCTGCACCTCGCTGCTGTAGCTGGGCAGCTTTGACAGTCTCTCTGTGTGTAGGCAAGAGGTTAGCAAAGAAGGGGAAATTAAAACAATGTTGTACATTATATAGTTACTGGCTATTGAAAAACCTATTTTGTATGCAAGACAGCAGTGTAGAGATATATGGAAAGCCTTGGGCTAAGTACAGAAGATAATTACATTTGGAATTTTACTGAGTTAAGTCATTTATAGCTTCAAATAGTTGGAGAGAAAAATCAGCAAAAACACACTTAAACTTCTTGTTGTTACTTTTCAAGATAAGCATTTAAAAAAATTCCTTTTATCTTCTTATCTTACAAATTACCCCTTTTTCTTTCATAGATATTTCCTAAATTTTATTTTCAGGAACACGCTGGTCATGACACTCTTTCTCTATTAGCTAAAGCAATATAAACTATTTTAATATAAGTTTTATAAAAACCAAACTACCAGTCATAAAATGTCAGAGTCTTGCAGAAAATGTTATGAGAGGTGGTCTGTTATTTTAACAAGTTTCCTGAGAATTAGAAGAGCAAATCTGCAGTCTTCCTGGTAAACTGAGATACGAGATAATCTTTAACCAAGATGCAATAATATTTATGCTGAAGGCAGATGAAGATTCTTCAGTTACAGTCAGCTTGAAAAGCCCGAATGCTTCTTTCCCTCCTGCAGTTCGTGGGCATGTCTGTGCCTGGAACTACAGGAGGATGCCCTAGTCATGAACAGCACAGAGATGATGCCAGGTCACCACCTGTTTGTAGGTCCTTACAATGTTTTTGAGAGGTTTATCACTGCTGAATTATTCTGATTGTCACGAGTGACTGATATTGATGGATTCACACCCATTTAGTGCTGAGGAGTACATCCTAGCTTAGAGTCACTGCATGAAGTCCCCAGGACGAACATTATTTCAAAGTGGTATGAGGGATAAGCCAAAGGTTTTTTTGTGTTTGTTCCTGTTGTTGTTTTTTTTTTAACAGTCTTACTAGCACAGAGGATAGGATGGAGGCTTCATGTAGCATGGGATGCTGATAGCAGTGAGACTGTCTGCGTGTTAGCCAGGAAGGATGGGTGAAGGAAGTTTGTCCTGCTTCTGAAAAGCCCCTGGAACTCCCCACTTCTCCCTCTCTTCATCCTGCATGTCAATCCTTGGATAATCTGCATAAGTATGAACATGGGAGGAGACAAAATTTATCTTCCAGTGCCTAGTATATCTGGCTGGGACTTGTGCTTCACAGATCTGTGATGCAATGAAGGTCTAGCTCCATAGCAGAGTTTTCAGTGACTTGGTCTGCAGCACCCAGTGTGGCACAGCAGGGTCAGCTCTACCCAATACTTCTGCAACAGAGTGGCACAAATCAGTGCTATGGACAGCAACTTGTGTTCTGTGAGCCAGGTAGAAGAGGGACCTCATAGCTCCAAGGAGGAGCAAATCCATTGCATTAGAGGGATGCACTTCAGGTTTTGAGTGTGGTGGGCCCAAAAGAAAGCTTTTTTTTTTTTTTTTTTTCCCCAATGTAATTATTTTATCCATAGAAGCTTCATCAGTGTCATGGAGATAAGTTCCATGAGTTCTAAAGAAAGTAACTTTTTGAAAAAGGAAAAGTCAATCAAATCAACAAGTCAAAAGTTTGATTGCAAATGGAGTTTTGCAGAAGTATCATGAAGCTTTTCCATCACAAACATGTTTTAAATACCACAGACAAGGTAGAGATCTCCTCATATTTCACTTAGATTAAACAATCTTGACATGATCATTTGTTGCTATTATAAATAATGAGAACTAGGCTTCTGGGTAAGACACAAACATAGGAACATATCCCTATCCTTAGCAAGACCTTAGCTGGAATAGGACGTTTATTTTGTAGCACCACCTTTGAATGGAAAATCACTTCAGGACAGCAGCAAGGCTTGACACACTTGAAAAAAGTATCTCCTAATAGGAGAACATAGAGATAGCTGTCCATTTTCAGTGGAGTGAAAGCTCTACTTGGGCTTATTTTTTGTAGCATCCATTGACACTCTTAAAAAATGGATCCTGAACCTTTATTGTACACAGCCTTATTAGGCACCTAACAGGAGGGAAGAGGCTGCATCTTGGTTGTCTCTTGCATTGCTCATGGTTCCTTTCTTTCCCTTTGTCCATAGTGCTTTTCCTGCTGCTGAAGAGGTCTCTTCCCATTGTTCTGGGTTTCCATTTTCACATCCTTGCTTCTTGCCATTGTTTTCTGTCTGCTTTTCCTCCTGTGCAATGTCTGCACTTTTCTGTGCCTTCCGTCTTGTTCCTTGGTCCACAGACTCCTATACTTCTCCTCTTCCTGAGCCCCTTTGTGTCTTCCCTCTCCTGCTTATCACATATGCAGTTTCAGGATTTAACCTCTCCAGACCAAGGCGTATGTCTTGATATCCAAGTTTTCAGAACACTGTACGTGAGCTCTGGAAGAGTTTCCCATGGAGCCACTATTAGGAACCTAGACTGTGGTGGAGCCCCAGAGAACTGGGGGAACCTCAGAAGGTCAGTCTTGCCATGAGGAACTGGGTGGCCATCTGAAAACTGCCGCCATTTAGAGCTTTCAGAAAGAACATCAGAGAAAGGAACGGGGCTTCAGATGGGACTATAGTGCTAGGGTCTTTTCCTACCCAGCATTGTGCAGCACAGAGCTCTCAGGCTTCAGTAAACTCCATGGAGAACCAAGAATTTGCTGTTTCTGATCTGCTCCTCAGTGCTGGACCTTCAAATCATAGAATCATAGAATTGTTTGGGTTGGAAGGGATCTTTAAGATTATCTAGTTCCAACCCCCCTGTTACAGGCAGGGACACCTCCCACTAGACCAGGTTGCTCAGAGCCCCATCCAGCCTGGCCTGGTAAGGTCCTTGCCCCCAGGTACTGAATTTCACCAGGCTGCCTCTGGACGTGTGAACATTTCAGGCTTCAGATCTAAGTCCTTGCCACAGGGGACTTCTATGGATCTGAAGCCTTGTGGTTTCTCCTATGCCCTTAGTCAATATTGTCATTCAGGGGAGGGTTCTGCAGCCAGAGGCAGGGATCCCTTTCCAGCAGGGCACGGGAGAGCTGTGAGTGCCAGCTGAGCCCATGGCTGAGGACACAGCTGCTCTGTTCCCCCTGTCCTGCCCCATGCCAGTGGCAGGGTTTACCAGTCCTACTTCAACTGCACCTTGAGTGTATACATTCAAATGTAGTTTTGTAGGCTGAGTACCGGCAGAAAAGCAAACAATTGCCTACAGAAGCTTAGAAGCACTGGAACAGAGCTGCAGTAATCAGTTTATTTCTGTTGTATAACAGCCCTTGCCCAATAACGCTATCAGTAGATGAGGAGCATTTCCCTGCAGCTCCACTAAGAATCCCCATGTGCGGACAATCTGCGCTCCAGTGAGTGCCACCAGTGAGAATGTGCTCCCATCAGTGCCCAGTGAGTCCTCCTGGCTTCTTCTGAGGAAGCTTGCTGAAGGAGGAGCTGCTGGTGACAATCTGGTTTTTTATCGGTACTGCTTCCTAACATAGGGGAAAAACAGTTTAAAGAAATTCTTCAGATTTTTTTACTTCTCTTCAGTGCTTTGAAACTGAGAGACCTCTATTTTTCATAATTTAAACTCCTGCCTAACTGGGTGAGTGTTTGAATTCCTAGACTATGACAAAACACCAGTGTGCGTCTGCCTGAAATGTCGAGAGGATCTTTAATAACGTTCACCCACCAGAAACGGCACTAAAAGCGTGCTAAGATGATGACTGAGAACAATAAAAGCAAGGACCCCAGCTGCTCCGGGCCAAACACCGTTTTGCTGAGGGGCCCGGAGGAAGCACAGTGCAGGGCATGCTCCATGCTGCCCACTGGCTTTGCTGGTGGCTTTCCCTGCTGCCACTGCTGTGCTGCAAGCAGGAAGTTTTCAGGTGCCTCTGAGCTTTGTTTGTTTTGGCTAAAGCTTTGGTTCCTGCGGTAGCCTGCAGACCAAAATTTAATGCACAGATGACCCTGCCAAGCAGCCCCAGCGCCCAGGAACTGCTAAGAATGAGAGATTGCACAACAGAGCTGCAACAAGACTAAAATATTTCTTGTTTTGTATTTGTTCTGTGGAAAGCACGGCAGCTGAGGGGTAAGACCTCTGCTTTCTCTGAAGAAGTCCTCAGAGGACTCTGAAAGGGAGACGTTCCCACTGTGTTGCTAAGAGCCCGCCCCTGCTCTTCTGTGGTCTCCAGATCTCCAGAGCGGATCTGGAGGCAGATTGCAGGAGGTCTAGTATCACCTTTAGCTTTTCTTTCTTGCCATGGAGATTTTTGACCAAGAAAAGAAAAGCAGCTTGCAAAGGCCAGTGATTTGGCTTTTGCACTTCCAAAGCACACAGTGGTGACACCATTTTTTCCTTCATTTAATTCCTGCCTTGGAAAGTTGTGTGCCAAGTTTTATCCCATTGTGACATCTTTCTGGCACAGGCAGAACCCCCTTGCTCTGCAAAGAGCAAGACAACCTTGACTGTAAGGTTATGAATGGGGATTTATGACCAAGTCTCTTTTTATATACACTTAGCCCAGCTTTACTGCTACAAACAGATGACTGTGATAAGGTGGGCAGGTTGTTCAACATTTCACTGGAATGCGAGCACAGTTCTCCTCTTGGCACCAGGATCCTGATTGTCTAAAACAAAACTACAGAAATTGTCATGTCTAAGAACCTGATCCAAGTCCTATTGGAAACAGGAACCTTTATGTTGAGCATGTAGGCTAATAGCACATCTTTTTCATTAGTATTGTCTTCTAACATATTCCCACTTCTTAATTTTTTTTTACTTTTGTTCCCCTGTCTTTTTTTAAGAGCAGCCAGAAAACGTCCTATTTTCCTTTAGAAAAAAAATTATCTATATATTGTTTCCCATACCAGTGAGGTTTAGTGCCTGGCCAGTGCGTTGGTAATGTACTTGGAAGCCGTTCTGGCCACAGCAGTACACTGTGATCTTGAGATCTCAATGGGAAATTGCAGGGGAAGTGAGGGTCAGCCTATGGGCATTCCCTTAACATCTAACACAGGAGCCTGGCCACACTTCTGGGCTGTGACACGATGGATGCAGGTAGCATTTCCGCCCAGCTGCCATTTGGCATGCACCTTAGGGATGCCAGCAGTGGTGATTCCAACTGCTGCTCTTGTCCCTGCCGGGTTCCCCTGACAGCTCTTGGGGGGTCACAGTGATGTGGGAGCTGCAGCCCATCCACATACTGCTCATCCCATGGTGCAAAAGGAGGACAAAGCATGCAGGGTCACTGCACAGCGTGCCTTCTGCTGCGCTTCCCGGGTTAATAAACATGATTCACTGGTGTCTTTTAGCTGTCAGGGCTAGAGTGAACCTCTCGGTGCCAGCAGGTCTAGCTTTTCTTGCTGAAGGGCTAATGCATTTTGCTTTGAGAAATACTGACACCCAGCACCAGGCGTTAGCTTTGCCTCATGAACAGACCGTATACAATTTCCAAACTGCTCAGCAATAAAACTCTCCTGTCTTCTGCGTTGGTGCCAACTGTTTAATTAGGAATAAGCAGAGGTTGGATTTTATTCCTACAAGTAATAGAGCGTTTTTTTCTCCCCCTTCAGCTTGCAAAAGATAAAGAGCGCCTGCAAGCCATGATGACACACCTGCATGTGAAGTCAACTGAACCAAAAGCCACCCCTCAGCCTGTAAGTACTGAACTGTGCAGAAAGCAAAACCAAACCTCACACCAGACCTCTTTTTCCTGTTTCCCACCTGGGTGTGTGACACGAAGCGTGGCTTTGCTGTGTGCCACAGGGAGGAGATGCAAAGTGAGAAGTATTTGGTAGTTTTTCAGGGGGCACAGCCCAGAGACCCACCTCTCTCCTTCCTCCAGGAGGCTGATGAGAGCTGGACCCCAAAGAAGGGCCTTTTGGTGGTCTGTAGGTTGCTTTACATTGGTGCCACTTGCATGAAACCTTAGGAAGTGTTAGGAAGGAGACGTGATTAAATTATATGTAGCGTATTTATTTGACTTTCTCCCTGTCTGACAGGAATTTACAGTAGAACAGACTCTTGTCGCATGTTTCGATGATAATCACTGTTGCCTAGTATCAGGTTTTATACCACTGAAACTGAGAAGGGAAACCTTCTCCACTGCAGATTTCTCTTCAGAAAAGGTGCTGTGGGGGTGGCCAGTGGGGTAGGAGGGCTCGATCAGCCACTCCATAAACTCCTTGCTAGGCAGCCAGTGGCTTTGCAAGCCAAGCCATCTCCTGGGTCCCCCAGTACAGGGCAAGCCCTCCGTCTTCTTCCCTGACCAAAGCGACTCCTCGTCTGTTGTTTTCTTCTCACCTCTTGATGCTGAAAATGCTCCTCAGAGCTTCAGATGATTATTCAAAATGGAGAGAGTGCTTTGCTTCTTGATTTTAAGATTTGTAAGATTTAAAGGTACACTGGCTTTATTTGATTTTGCTTTGAGTCATTGTGTGAAAATTAATTGAGCGTTGACAATCTATAGTTAGTACTAGCAATTTTAATCAATATGCAATGATGCAGCATAATGACAAAGTATTGGTTTATCTGTTTTGACTGATTTTTTTTCTATAAATAAAGCAAACATACACCCATATATGTGTGATTTATGGTGATAGAAATAAAAAAGAGTCAGACTATTAACCCAGCAAATATGGTAGCCTGCCAAGATGCAGTTGGTAGACAAAATTAATGTCTGAAACAGAACACATTACAGAGATAGAGAACATAAAATCATTAAACACTTCGCGCACCCATTTTTACTAGGAACGGATTTCTCACTTTCCATGTAGTTGGGAATAAATGGCTGCAGAAGTGGATGGGAAGGCTAAAGGATAGAAAATTACAGGCTGTTCAGGAACGCTGGAGCAGATGTCAAAGTCAGTGGGAAGTTTTCGGGGCAGTCTTGGTGGAGTTGAGCGGTAGGTACGAACCCTTCCATTTTGGCTGATGAGATTCATGAAGCTGCTTGGTCTGGAGGATAGCAGCTCTCCAGAGTAGAAACTGCGTGCAGCATCTATAAAAATAACATTCTTCTAGTTCCTCGTATCCATCTCAGCCTGAATGCAAATGCTTCAGCGCATTGTTGGCAAAGTGCGTAGACCCAACAGAATGGGAGGAGGCTTGGTTTCTATAGCTCTTACTGGATTAAAAATTAAAACAGCGGAATAATCTGGGAGTCTCAGAGCACTCTGCCTTGAGGCCTTTCGTAACAGCAGTGCCCCTCAGGAGGAAGGATTAAAAACTAAAGGGAGGAAATCACAAGAAGGCCAGCGCTGCTTGGCAAGGCAGCCGGTGATCAATGCTGCGCCGCGGAGGGCAGCAGCTTTGGCGGGCGTTGTAGGCTATGGAGGTACCAGGCGGTGTCGCCGTGAAGATTAGTGTTAACAGCTAATAAACAGGGAAAGCAGAGGGAAAGAAAGAGAAAAAAAAAAGTAAAGGGGGAACGCAGGGGGAAAAGGGCTGTCTTGATTAGTATTAAAAATGTTTTACATTCTGGAAAATTATAGCTTTGTTGGGGACCTCCTACTAAATTTATTTTTAACTGCTCTATTGAAAATTCTGTACCACTAGTCAACATTATCTCTCAGTTGCTCAGCACAGTGTTTCTTTATTAAAAGAAATAGGCATGAATATTTTTGACTGAAAAATTAATAGCTTTTGAATTCATACACAGCAGGTTTTCTTTTGCAAAGAAGTCCAATATCGCTGCACAGCACTTCTATAACCATTTATTTAGAGTCCAAGTCAAACCTTTGACAGCTAGAGCAGTGTTACAAGCCAACATAAAGAACTCCAAGATGTAAACCAACAATAGGCAGTCTGTGTGAGGTTTGCCATTGTCAAATACATAGATTGTTTGGATTAGTTTATGTAAATGTACTGTTGTATTACCCTTTGGAAAAAAAAAGATCACATTTGTGTATGAAAAGTGGTTTCGTTCACAGGCAGCATTATAAATTCCTTATCCTTTAACTTACATGTTAGAAGTAAAAATTGGTGCCTGACAGGCCTATATTGTGTGGCACTCTGTTGTTGGATTGAAACTGCCTTCTTTTCATTTATTGAAATATAGAAAAATTTATTATAGATACCATCTGATAAATCAGAAATTATTAAAATATGTATAGGTGAAGCATTTGAAAATTAATTATAAAATGTAGGAGTATAGTGTTTTGCATAAATTGTGCTTTCGTTATGAAAAAATACACAGGCACCGCATAGACTCTGCTAGACCCCAGTCCTTTTAACTCAGTGGGATAGGACTTTGGTAAAAAGATCTGATGACCATTATTGCAGTGCAAAGTGTTCTTTACATCCAGTAATTAATTTTTTTGCCAACATAACTAATGCAAGGTGTACGTTAGAATTAATATATTACGGTGCATCAGCAGTTATACAGGAAAGAGTGGCTGCAAATCCAAACGTAGCAATGAATTGGGATTTAAAATTACACCCTTTTCATGACTGAGAAAACGTTTTTATTCTGCTTAAAGGATCTTAATGCTTGTTTTTAAACAGTTTTGTTGCTGTGAGGCGGAACTGGTGCCTGAGCTGCTTAGTTCACTGGTGCTTTCACCATGCGCCTTGTGTAACCTGTGCTGGCCATTGGCCTTCCGTTGGGCTTCACACAGGGCTGAGCAGTGGTGGCTGGACCCCAGGCAGCTTCTTGATGCTGCTGCACTGATCACAGCTCAGCCAGGGATGGGGAAGCTGGTCCTGTCCATCGATCGCATCCCCACCTGCAGGTGCTCCTTGCAGTTATTTCCACCCCTCCAGTGGAAGGGCTAGTGCCCCACGCTGTTGTACCAAGGCAGGTGCTCTGTAAAGCTCTTCAGACTTACAAAGCCAAGGAGACTTAACATGTTCTCGTGTAATTCAGTACTGATGACCCGAGCTGTTGGCACATAGGTCTGTATGTGGGGTTGCTGCAGGTAGGGCAGCTCTTCTGCCTCAGGGGAGCTCCTTTCTGGGCAGCCGAGAGAGTGGCACTGAGGAAGGGCTGAGCATTGACACAGGTTGTGCTGGCTGCCTGTTTGCTAATGGCCAGCTTTGTAATTACCATGTCCAGAGGTGCAGCAGCTTAAAAGAAAATGGAAGTACCTCAGCTTAGCACTTGGAACGCGCAGAGTTGTCCCTCTTACTGCTGCATGTGTTGTTTTGGTGAGAATAAAGGACTGAGCAAAGTGAGAACGAAGCTGTGAAGGAATATGCTGTGACATATCTTTGTAAGGTACGTTTTTTTTTCAGCGAGGAACAAAACAGAGAAGCCAGAACAATGATTGCTCAAGAGCTGTCACTCTGGTTTTGCTGTTAAGATGGTTCCCCTAAATTCTGTTTTTGTTGGTGCAAGTGGTCAGCGTGGTAGGTTAAGATGGAAATGTGATTTTATTTTGGAGGATTAACTAACACTGCAGTTCACAGGAAGGAAAGGAAAAGGAAAAAAATCACGAACCAACAAATCATTGTGCACGCTAGGTGCCATATCCATCTTTAAAAACTGGTAGAAAACTTGAAGAGAAACTTTTGGCACCTCAAATGAAATGTACTGTTAGATATCCCTTATTTAATGTATTTTTTTTGCCCTAACCATAGCAATTACGATTGTTTTGAAATACTGTTTTTAGCAACTGTAATAACAAAGCATTTTAAAAATGGTCTTTTAACTCTTGAGGGAATGACTGAGCATTTTAGCTGCTGTAGCCATACTTTATAGTTTGAAAAAATAACGATACGCAGCAATAAAGAGAGATTCTCAAGCACAACAAAAGCTGTTTTTATATACTGGTTTTCATTAAGTCTCACTCCTCAGCTTCGGTTTCCTCAGTGCTGCTGCCAATAACAACACCTGCTAAGTGATTGCTGCCTGCCAGGCTCCCATCCAGCGCTGCTGTGTCCGAGCTGGAGCAGGAGAGGAGGATGCAGCATTGAGCAAAGCTCTGGGCCCAGCCTGCCATCCCACCCTCCGTGTCAAGAAAAGCAGTCTCTGCTTTGGAGTGTTGTAGGGTCCAGCAGCTCAGTTCTGATAAACCCTCACCTCTAATCACAACCGAAACAGCAGCATCAATGGCAGGGGGAATCCCTGCCCTGCAGCAGTGGGTATGGCCTCTCCGTGACATTTATAAATGTGTATTTCCTTTTTTTTTTTTTTTTTTTTTTTTTGCTTCTTCTAAAAGTGTTTCAGATGGGGGTTTTTTACTGCAGCCCCTATTGTCATGGAAGATATTTACACAGAAAGGAATCAGGCTGAGCCCTAATGGGAGAGCCACTTACTGGAAATCTATTTTACAGGGTGAGAGAGAGGGCTACCTCTCTGTCTTGTTTATATCTAAGGAAAAAACCATGACTCAGTCTTCACCTTTAATAGGAAGACATGACCATTTCTTGAAAGGGAAGGTTAATACTAAAATCCTAAGCAGGATATTGGATGCTGAAACAATTAAAACATTTATGGATGTTGAGTTAAAGCGGCACGAGGCACGGTTCTTCAAAACTGAAACTGAACAAAGCACCCAGCACCCTTCGCTGACTAAATTTACAGAATTTCAGGACTTCAAACTGTTACCGGGTTTGGTGGCTTTTTGTTGTTTTATTCTTGTTTTCTTTTGTGGCTGGAGGAAATCCTCCCTCCCCCATCCCCAGGGTAAATGTTGCAGAACCAGTTAACCCTTGGGTGGCAGGGCTGCGCCTTGCTGCCCACTGCTGACTTTGTGCCTTGTGTGCAATCCCTTCAGCCGGAAACAGCCCCTCACCAGAACGTGCAGTATGTGGGACACTGGCAGTGTGCAAAGTACCAGTGTGAACAACTTTCCTAATCATAGAAACTTGTTTTTAAATAGAAGATGTGCACAGCATCAGGAAAAGAAACCCTCGCAGCCCAGTCCCTTCCTGAGCTTTGCCCTGAATTATCATCCGCTGTGCGTTTCTGATTGCCGGCAGTATCGAGATTTAATAGTTTACAATTCAGATGAATATTTCAAGATGGCAACAAAACCAACACCATTCATAATTTGTTGTTCTGCTCCAATTCACCACCGAGCTCTCCGCCTTGACACTGCAAATCCCACAAAGACAGCGGCCCTCACCTCCCCATACCCACCCCACGTTGTGGTGCCATCACCAGAGGGGTCGATCCCCTGCCCAGGAGCAGAGCGGTACCAGGTGTGGGGCAGGAAGAGGGAGAACTTTGCTGGCGAGCACCAAGGTTGTCTTTCATTAACTTGTTGGTTCAGGCTCAGCGCTGGCCGGCGGAGGTGAAGCACAGCACACTCGCTACGTTCCAGCTTTTTGTTCTTTCTTTCCTCACAGACTGCAGTCATGTTTAATTTGGAAACTGGGCTCCTTTGGCAAATTAGCAATTAGAACAATTTTGTGGGAATATGTATATGTGTCATTAGTTTTCCTGCAAATTAATAGCGAGAGCAGAGGTCAGGCAGAAATTTTCCACTTGACTGCAGCTCCTCTGTTGAGATTTGGCACTTTGTTTTGGAACGGCCACAGCTGCTCAAAGCCACAGTCTTCCTTTAGGAACTGTCTTTTAATTAGTTTACCTCATAGCCATTATTACAAATATTACTGCCTCCCCTCCTTGAAATAAAATTACTGTTTCTACAAAATATTCCAGTGACATCTTGCACCACTGCACATTGATGGTGGGGTCACTCGAATGCAGCGTTTAATCATTAGATCACCTCCATAAGCATCTCCTAATTAGAGTCCTTACAATACAATTTTATCTGGTAATTAGCTGAGATTGGCTGCTTCCTCTGTAGCTTATTAGTGGCAGCCCAGCAGTGGGTGTGAATCACAGTGTCATTTGTCAAGCCTGTTAGGGCCCCCCCCTTTGCTCATCCTCTCTTCTGTTTATTTCTGGTTGCTACCTACGCTGAAAAGCCTAAAGAAATCTAACTCGATTCAAATTCTTGAAGCAGGGAATGCTGACCTTTGGGGATTCTCTCTCTCGCAGCTCTCTGGTAGAAACAGATTAAATGTTAAGTTTTTAAACGCTAAAAAAGGAAGCGAACTCTTTTGAAATGGAGTAGCGAGAGCCGTAATGATGGAGCGCGAGCAGTGATCTTTCCAACAGGAGGGCCCGGCTGCCGAGCCTCTGCCAGAGACGGGCACTTAAAATTGATGCAGATTTGCTCGCAGTTATTGGACTGTTAAAATGTCCATTTAGAAACTGAGATAAAATACAGAAGATTTAATTTCATGGTGAGACCTGTCAGTTGTACTATTATTATCATCACTGGTCCTTTTATCATATGTAATAGATGGATAGATGGATAACAGGGAGACATTACAATGAGCGTGTCCCTAATCAGTGGCCTTAAATCACGCCAGTCAACAAGCAGAGGTGGCAGCGGCACCACAGGCTCAGTGTTCATGGCAGGATGCTCTGGGAATCACTGCCTGCATTTGAGCACCCTCGTCATGTCCTTGCTGGGTTCCTCCTTCTGTGGCCTCACCATGAGCTGCTGGATGGTTCCCGTGTGGGCACAGGGCACACAGGGAATGGGTTGCCTGCAGTACCTGAGCAGCATGCAGGGCTGCAGGCAGCAGCACTTGGTTGCGTGAGGATTCTGTGGCGCGGCTTTAATGCAGGCAGAGTTGCTCAAAAAGCAGGGACAATTTATTGAAAAACCGGTGCTATTTATCTGTCTCTCTGCTGTGCCCTTCCTGTGGGCAATCAGCTTTTTGTCTTGGTGTCATTTCTGTGACACGAGAGCCCTTTGTTTTCCGTTACCTTTGTTTGGGATAAATCCTGTTGTTTTGATAAAGGAGCAGCAGTATTTCTGGCTGTTAACTCAGATGAGGGATGCTAATAGGAGTTTTCTTATCTGGTTACTTTCACACGAGGAAAATTAATACAGAGTCTTATGGATAAACATGAGCTGTTTGGGGGCATATCTGAATTGCGTGCCTCGCCTTCATCTGAAAAGCTTTAATGTCCAGCCAAAAGGAATTTTAATCAGAGCAAAAGTTATAAAATTCTGGTCCTGTTAAATTCAGTAGGAATTTTGCTACTGACTTCAATGGGGTCAAGATTTCAGCAGTATTATTCACGAAAGTGCCTAAGGGAAGGAAATGTGGAAGTAGTCAAAGAGCCCTCCTCTCCCTCATTTTTTCTGATGTCACTAAGAGATGGGGTTGTTTGTTTAAAGCACTCCAGCAGGAGCAACCTACTGTTGTAAGGGAGCATCGTTTTTCAGAGGGCATTGCAGGGCAGCGGGAAGGAACAGATGCTGCTGGTGTGGGTATGGCTGGGTGCTGAAAGTGGTTGGGCTCTGTTTGGGTTGGATGCACAGTCCCAGAGGCGTTCAGCTGCTGCTGCTGCTGCAGGTAACACTGTGCCTCCCGTCAAGGGAGAGCAGAATGGTGCCACTTGTGCTGGGCTGAGTGGCTGCAGTATTTCATGCGGTGTGATTAATTAAATTATTCCAGAGTTAACCTACTCAGGGCTTTGCTTTTAAAATGGATGAACAGGAGGGGAAGGGAAAAAAAAGCAATCCCAAATGCTGAAGAGAGAGATTGTGTTTCTCCCTACTATGTCCCTATGAAAATCTGGCTTTTTATTCTTAGCCTGATGCCTTCAGTGAAATATCCAAGAAGACTGATCAGAAGCCGTGCATAATGATAGCGTGGAAAGAAGGGGTGTGGGGTTGAAATCGTGAAACAGCGGAACTGCAATAAAATACCAAGATGATGGCACTCTCTGTAAGATCTTTTAAGGTTCGGATGCAAATCCACTATGTGTAGTTCTGGCAGTAGGATGCCTTGTTCATTTTATAAAATCCATCTATCTGGAAGTGTACGTATTTATTTCCGTTTGCTAATGGAGATGCTACAACAGCACTTGGAGCTGAAGCGAGCACTCGAGCTGCGTTGCCTCTGAGTGGAGGGTCGTTCCGTTAATGAGAATTTCCCCCACCACCCTTAATTAGCCACAGTCGCCCTTTGTAATGCAGCCTTCGTCCTTTCCCTCCGCAGCTCAATCTGGTGTCCAGCGTCACGCTTTCCAAGACAGCGTCCGAGGCTTCTCCACAGAGCTTACCTCATACTCCCACCACCCCGACTGCACCCATCACTCCCGTCACGCAGGGACCGTCGGTCATCACTACCACGAGCATGCACAACGTCGGGCCCATCCGGAGGCGGTACTCGGATAAATACAACGTCCCCATTTCTTCAGGTAAAGCGGTGCTGCTGATACGGGCCCTTCCCAGCCCGGCAGCTTTCTGCTGCCTACACCCGCAGCGACGGGCTGTGATGATAACAGAACAACTGCTCTTTATTTAGCAGATATTGCCCAGAACCAAGAATTTTATAAGAACGCAGAAGTTAGACCACCGTTCACGTATGCATCTTTAATTAGGCAGGTGAGTGGAGCCAAACACAGGCATTCGGATTAGACAAAGTCTCCCTATATGTGCGCGCTCCGGATTAAATAGATTTTCAAACCTTTGGTATGTAAGCATGCTCAAATGCTCAAACCTTTACTATAAGGGTTTTTAGAACTGCAATATATAACATAATTGCTTTTGATTAAGTATTACAATACGATGTGATTATTAGGAAATTCATTTCACACAACAGTGAAAATGAGCCTGTTTAAAGATGGCAAGTCAATTATCACAAGCTACAGTAATCTCTGATCCCTAGAATTAATCTGAGCTCTAAATAATTACTGAGCTTTAATCAGCTAGTGAAATGTTTTGCATTTCTCTTTGATTCTGCTTTATGAATGACTAATAAATTAATATTTCTGTAAGGAAACAGAAATAAAAACTCAAAACAATTAGATAATTCCATTTTGAATTTTGCCATTGAACTGTTAAATACAGCCATTAATCTTAGTTCATATTGTGAAAACCTTCCTTCGGATTTTTGCTCCAAATCCCTTCTCTTATTTTCTCATTCCTTCGTTCTTTCATTCTTTTTGTATTGGTCCAAGTAAAACTCTGACTGTGTTTTGTACTGACTTGCTCACAACTGATGTTGCCATTGATTTGCTTCACAAGGCCATCCTCGAATCTCCAGAAAAACAGCTAACACTAAATGAAATCTACAACTGGTTCACGCGAATGTTTGCTTACTTCAGGCGCAACGCGGCGACGTGGAAGGTAAGCCTTAGCCCTGTGTGCCTCTTGCCTTTGATATCTGACATGTACAGAATAGACGTTGCTGATGACATAACAAATTGTAACGACGTGTGGACATGAAAATGTAGATCGGCAGTTGTGACACGCGCTGGGTGCCTTATCTGCAGGAACAATTTGATATTTGGCAGAAAAACTCCTCTGCCTTTGAAAACCACTAATTGAATCCCCCATTATTGGCTTTTATGTTCTGTGATTATGCCACGAGTTCCTCTGTGTGGTTGCTGCTAGCAGTGAAACTCAAGCCCGTCAGCTGGAATGTATTAAAAAAAAAAAGAGGTAATGTTATTGTGTCGGTGGAGGATATGCTGTTTGTCTTCTTAGTTATGCAGGCTGTGATCACAACAACTGATTTTTTTCCCCTAGGATCAGTAGATAAATGGATTCCTTTCCTCAATCAGTTGACTCTCAGCTACATACACAGATATTTTACAAACTTCTACATTTTAGTCACACAGCAGCAGCTCACTGAACATACTGTGTAAGAAGCAAGCCTTACCATAAGAAATCCGTTCAACAGAACTAAACATTGATATATTTGGCACTTCAGTTTCCTACCATAACCATCTCTGATGTTGCTGGATAAAAGATCTTGGGAGTTACTTGTATTCTGGGGCCACTCTTTCTCTCGTACGTAGCGTTACAACAGCCAGACTGGCTTCTTAAGCTGGTATCATTACTAATTAATGAATCAAAGCAAAGGATCTTGTATTGCAGTAAAAATTGCATCCCAGTAGTTTGAGCTGCTCTCAATCTAGACAGCTCTGTTGCTCTCAGACTTCAAATGACCAGGTAGCATGAATGTGTTCCATACTGGCTGTTTCATTTGCTCTTTCTATTTTTCTTGTCTCAGCCTGCATTTGGAATTAATTACATCAGAGGATGGAGCTAAAAATCGTCCTTGGAAGTTAGTTCAGTTTTAGTAGCACAGTTAGATTCAGGAAAAGTCTCTGTGATTGCTGCTTTGATTCTTCAACTTCAGTTAGAAAACATGAGCAGTGTTTCACTTTGCAGTCTCCTTACTGTCCAGAAAGGAAATTAACTTTCCCTGATTTAAGATCCATTTAGACCTGCCTGTCTTTTGCTGCTGGAGCGCTTCCAGTAGGCCTTTTCAGCAGCTGCAGGTGTGGGTGCTAAAGCAAAAATCCTATCTAATTCCAGCGGTGAAAGGAAGTGGAGAAGGGAGTGGAAGAAGGCAATCTTGGCAGCCTGCAAGGCTAATGTTAGGAATTAGCCTTGCGTATCACTTAAAATCAAGTCCCAGGAGCCACGTGCACTAACAGTGTGCTTGTACAGAGGAGGAGAGAGGCTGAGCTGAAGACCCTTGGGCTTGCAGAAGAGCACAGCAGGTCTATGCGGAGACCAATCATGGACACCCTGACCCTATCCAGGAGCCCACATCCTGCTTCACAGCCTGGGAAGGAAAGGTTCACTGCAACTTCTGGCTTCCATGCAAGGAATGCAATTTTTGAGCTACTCAGATTCATGCCAGCCTTCAGGAACAGCGGGGATGAAAATGCAGCTCTGGCTTAGCATGACGGGAAGCCCACGGGGCGCAGAATGAGCGCAAGGGTCTAATTGCAGAATCAGAATAATTTGAATACATATGTGCTGATTTGAGCTCACCTTCAGCTAACGTATAGCGGGCATTCGAGTCAGTTTTCCTAAAGTTTAGGTCAGGGTTTGGTGTGGGCAGGCTTCCTGGAGACCTGTTTCAAAACCACAGATGAGCACAGGAATAACAACCTTGAAAAAATGAACCTCTTCCCCAAAATGCACTGCAGTGGAGCTTGAGCAGTTACGAGAATTACAAACCCTTTCATTTCCTACATTCAAGTATGTTCAGGGTAATTTTTCTACAAAAGTGGCTTGCGTACAAATATTTTTACCAAGGTAAATATATAATCTTAGAATAATAGCTCCTAATTTTTGTGTTAAGCTGATTGCTATGGGAGCACTGTGAACTGGTTCTAACAGGTCAGAGGCGATGCCTGTTTACTTTTATTTTTTGGAGTAATTTGCTGGCACTGAATTGCAGCCATGAGGCACAGGCTGCAGGTGTGGCTCTGAAACATGAATAAAACTGCTAGATAGCAAGTATCCAGAGGCACTGAGAACAAAACAATGGGGTTTTTTTGTGATGAATTCCTTAAACAAGTGATCATACTGAAAACTGAAAGTGAGGGCAGTGCTTTGTGGACATCCCAAATACCCAGTGTGTTTGTCTCAGTATCTTCAGCAAGAGCCTGATCCGGCAGCCCCAGCCCTCGATGGCAAAACACATAGCGGTCTGTAAAAGATTTCTCCAGCATTAGATATGTTTAAAGAACACAGAGATTTCTGCTCAGCTGTGTATTTGGAGACTGTTTACAAACTCCGAGGACTCACTTCACGGAACTCTGCTTATGCATTTGATCAACTGCCGTATTAACTGGGAGATCGGCTTTCACTGTGGGAAATAGCATTATTATTCTTACATTTTGCTCCAGACTTGACAGCGTTCCCATTTTCACAGGAAACTGCCTGAGCTACCCAGATGTGGGCCGGCAGCCCTGTGTCAGGTTGCGCTCACACGGAGCTCTGCTCCACCGGCGGCTGCTGAGCTCGCTGCTTTCCACCCGTAAGGTGTGGGGCGTTCGCAGTGTTCTGCTCCACCTCCCAATCAGGGGGGTTGCCAGAACTTGACAAACTAATGAAAACCGGGAGAGGAGGGAGAAGAGTCATTAAAAAAAAGGAGAACAAAGAGCAGGAAGAATGACAAATGGATACCCACGGAAGAGCTGAAGTGCACAGAGCTTGCCACGGAGCCAGGCCATCCCCGTGCCTGTGGGATCGGGCACCTGCAGCCAGAGGAGATGAGCTTGCTGCCAAGTATCTGCTGAAAGCTCCCATGGATCAGGGACAGTGCTAGTGATTGCAGGGACATGGAAAAGTAGCAAAAGACTCTTCTTAGCCTTTCCCTTGCAAGCACACACACCACTGCTGCTTAATTTACATGACAAATGCACTCTCCATACCCTTTGTTTGCACAGTGATTTAGACATTCATGATTAGAGCTCACTTTCACCATCCAGACCCGATGTTCATTAAAAAAAAAAAAAAAAAAAGATGACGATGACAGGAGGGAAAAAAGTGTGGTCTCTTGGTTGCCTAGACCCAGGCCATGTGTTTGGCTGGCATTGTGCCTGCTAACGAGTCAACCAGATTGACTAAATCAGTGGTGCCAGTGATGATGGATGGAGTTTGTTCGCCTGCATATTCTCAGCAAATGGCTTCTTCTGCTCTCCCTGCTTTCCAAGCTCCTCTCGGTGGTACTGGAGATGAGCTCTGTGTACCAACTGGAGCAGCTTTGCACTGGGGAAACCCACGCTGTGGAATGTAGCATGGCACTCTGTGTGAGCAGTATGGGAAGCAGAGAGAGCAGAGCCCCCGCTTGCTGTGAGGCAGCGAGGTGTCTCATCGTGGCCACCTGAGGGGAAGGTCTGACTGCACTGCAAGTTATGCCGGGCTCATCCTCCGAACCACAGCTCACACCCAAGCACAGAGCCTAGGAGCGCCAGGGTCCCTCCGGGTGATGAGCTGCAGGGATATTATCACTTTGTTTCAGAGAGCCCTCCTCGTGTTTGCACTTGGCAGAAGCTCAGATCAGTCCGTGCAGCAGTCTGCCAGGAACGGGAGCCAACTTCCATATAAGAGCACACAGCAGAGGCAGGGGCTGGGGCCGTGGCGGCCAGCGGGGTGCTGCTGAGCCCTGCTCTGTGCCGCCGATGGGGCAGGAGCTCAGCACCTGATTGCCATTAACCCAGCTGTGGGAAACCACAGGAGCAGCAGCCCCAGTGCCTCCCCGCTCCATTGAGCCATCCACACTCACATGAAATCCTTTCTGTTCTTTCACAGTGCTTTCTTTTCCAGGAGAGGAGAAGCCTATGTATTTGTTTTGAAAATGTCAATGCAATGTTCCTCTTGCGTTGTGTATGAAATGTGCCATATTATACAACGTGCGTGTTTATAAAATGATGGCTGTTCTCATTTGTACTGTGGGTAATTGATAAGAATGAGCTGATTTTTGTAATCTTGGGTTGAAGCTTTTATAGTTATATTAACTTTGCAAAATAAGATGTAAAGAGCTGGGGTGCGGGGAGAGGGGTTGACATTGCAAAATGAGGGCTGTCAAGCTGACTGTGCTGCTGTTCTTGGACAATGATGAGCATTTTCTCATAGAAAGTTTTTGAATGTATTCTCTTGCTGCAGAATGCAGTGCGTCATAATCTTAGTCTTCACAAGTGTTTTGTGCGAGTAGAAAACGTTAAAGGGGCAGTATGGACAGTGGATGAACAAGAGTTCCAAAAACGAAGGCCACAAAAGATCAGTGGGTATGTCCACCATGTTTGAACTTCTTAGCCTAGCTTGGATCATGCTTACAGTTTAACGTAGAGGCTTTTGGCTGCTAGCTGGTGTTAGACCAACCACAGGTGGTTTCGCATTGTTTCAGTTAAGGGAAACCAAGACAAACATCTCATCACTACTGTTTGTATGCCCACCAGTACCCTGACCCTGCTTGCTTGGTGTTTGTTGCATCACATGCTAGTAGCTTTTAGGTGGCAATGCATATTAACCCTCACAAACCATTTGCTTATGCTTATTGCATTTTATTTTCTTTTTCCTTTTCCCTGTATTTGATGTCTGTTCTGTCCCCGATCCCGTGTCCCTTTGTTTCCACTTCATCTCCTTTGCTGCTGCTCTTGTCCCAGGGTGCCATTCGCACCAACCTCTCACTGCATAAGTGCTTTATCAGAGTAGAGGATGAGTTTGGGTCCTTTTGGACTGTTGATGATGAAGAGTTTAAACGTGGCCGTCATATTCAACGAGGCCGTCCTCGAAAATACTGCCCTGATGAAAACTTTGGCGAGCTTGTTGCACAGTAAGAGCTTTTACTTGCTTTAATTTTTTTTTCTGCTGTTGCTTTGCTTTGCATGATTTACCCATCTCATGTAGACTTGCATTTCACGAAATAGTGACATCACCTTTGCTGCTAAAGGAGCAAAAGTTTTAGTTGTTATGTGTGTATTTTGTGTGTCCTACTCTGATAATCCAAATGCCTATAATAATAACTCTTTGACATGTTTGTTATAGCACTGGTTTATAGCGCTACGTAACCTAAAATAATGATCCACACTAATGCAGATATGCTGCTGTAGATCTGTCAGGAAGACAGATAGATGCCAGGAGGGGCTTCAGATAAGTTTGAATTCTGATATTTCCCTTTGCTTTCAATTGTATGCCTGGGTTTGCAACACTTTAATGGATTAACATTAAAAAAAAAGGAGTGCAGTGAGACCATCTGTAACGATTACAAACAGCAGTGCATCCTGTGCCTGCAACAACCACACACAAATATTCCTGGGGTTCCTGAAGCAATTTTGTTTGACCTTTCCTTGAAGGCCATCTCTCCAGGACAGCTGATCCTTGCCGGTCCCTGTGGGAGAGGCTCTGTTATGACTTCTCTCACCATGCCTTACTCTCATATGAAAAAAAGAAAAAAGCCCGATGAGTGTAAAACTTACTGGAGATGTTTTTCACTGGCACCTAGTAGGTTTTTCCCTACTTTCCTATTTTTTAATGCCCACTGAAGAGTGGATAAGCTTGCCATACATTTTCCTCAAATCCACCTCCTTATTTAAACTTAAGATGACTAAAGCAAGAGTCTGAGATAGCACATCAGAACTGTTATTAGAATGGCCCTTAGAGCAGTGTGCTCCCCACCACTTGGCTGCAGAGCAGCAGGACCAGCTGGTTTGCCTCTGTGCCACCTTTCCTCTTTCCCCATGTCCCAAACTGTTTGGGGCAGGAGTGCGGGCAGTGCCAACCCTTTCCCCATCAGGAAATAATGTGGCTCAAAATCCACTCTTGTCAAGGTCCCCCATTGAGTTGCAAGGAATTCTGCTGCCAGTGACTTTGAGAACCATGTGCCGTGCACAGTATTTAAGTATTCCATGCTGCTTTTGGTCGTAGCCTCCTTACGATGGGCCTTTATGTGGTAACTGGCTCCCAGAAACGCTGAATATTGCAAAATTTCTCCTGAACGCACTAAAATGAGCAGAGATCCCGAGATGTGCTACTGACACAGGGTAGCAGAGCACATGGTGAGGTAACGTCACAGTATGATGATATTCCTTATTTAGTAAAGGCAAATATGTTAACTGTAGGCAAAAACTCTGATATTTTCTTTAAAGAAAAAGGGAAATGAAAGAGAACTTGTGTGGAAAAACAGTCTGAGCACTAGTTTTCTGGTGTGGGAGGAAGCGTTACATGCTTGAAATGTTCGCATAGAGGGTGGTTGCATTTAACTCTCCTTTTTATGTTTTTCTTATGCAGTAACCCTTCTCTTATTAAAAACATACAGACCAGCCACACCTACTGCACACCTCTCAATGCTGCTTTACAGGTAAGATTAATGACTGTAGCAAATATGCAACAGAGGCGTGTGTCTTCCCCACTCATTTCAAAATATATTAGCCTTGCTCTAATTAGATATTAAATTTTAATTCCGTTAAACTTTTTTCTTAAGTGCATAAAGCATCATAGTCCCTGGAGGCAAACACATATCAGGCTGCTTCAGCATTAGCTAGATGCTTAGCATTTTGAATATTGTGGCAAAAAAATTAAAAGTTCACTTATTAATATTTATCAGCAGTATCATAATTTCCATCCTCTTATTTCAGAATTTCACTTGAGGCAAAAATACCACAAGTGTAATTACTCTAGCACAGCTATTAATGTGCTGAATGATAGGATACTGTGCCACGTGACCTTCTATTGTTCATGGTTTTAAAGAGAAAGCAGATCATTTTTCCCCCTTTTCTTTTAAGGGCTATTTTTGCATATCTTCCTGTTGTTGTTAAAAAAAAAATAAAAAATGTTGCAATTCCTATAGAAAAAAAAAAATGGGAATTTGTATTGGTTTCAACGACTGTAAGACAAAAATGTTGTTTTTCACAGTGTAGAAATGCACTTAGTGTTTGGTGCACTGTTAATAACCGGCACCCCGAAGGCGTGTGCTTCTCCAGACCCTTTTTCATGTACTGTTGATGAGGTTTGCTTTTTTTTTTTTTTTTTGGTCTCTACAAATTCTCGAGTCCATCTCAACAACCTCAGGTAATGTCAGGACTCAGCGACTGAACCAGAGGCACAGACACGTTACTGTGCCCTGGATTTGCAGGCTGTTGTGTTTGTGCTGCAGTCCAACCCCCATCCATACCATGGAAATGCAGCCAGGATGCAGCACCACCTATGGTTGTGTCCCCTGTGTGTGTGTGTTGAGGGTCACTTCTCCAGCAGCTCACTGGTGGCCATGGATGTTTGCTTGGGCCACCGCCTTCTGTAGAAGCTTTAGCAGGCTTCTCTTTTCCAAAGCAGGAAGCAGATTGTTAGGAGAAAAGTGATGTTCTGCGTTTCTTCTCGCGATCGGAGTTTATGCAGTAACTTCTGAAAAGCAAATGAAGGCATGTTTAAATGAAGCAACTGTAAATACCATTCATTAGTAACTTATTTTCCCTTGAGTCTTGTGAAGTGTGATTTTTAAAGACCGCTTTGTCTCTTGAATAGTATTAAGATTACAAGCACATTTTACATTCATGAGGCTGAAAGGCAAAAAATGAAATGATCCTGCATTTCTTCACGTTGTTAACTATGTGACTAATTTCAATTAATATGCTTATCATACGGAACTGTTCATGTTTTATTTCTCAAACACGTGTCGTTGTCGTCATCTCCATCCATTCTTCTGTGATAAACCTCCAAACTGCCTCTCTTCCCCACCTTCCCTGGCAGAGGCACGTGCCTGTGGCCTCACATAGCATGGTAGGAACTCGACTCACGGAGAGAAGAGCCTGGGCCAGGTTTCTTCCTGCTTGCATGTCCCCTATTAAAAAAAAAAAATAAGCAGGGGTGAGAAATCATGCTATTCATTGCACTCAGACAGATCCTCCTTTGGGTTTTAAACAGATCAGTGGGTTTCTCTCTACTGGGTATACGAGGAAACTGGATCCCCTGGGATGCTTGTGGTACAGGGCATCTTGAGCAGAGCTGCATCATGGGACCTCAGTGCACACTGACCTCCTGCTGCAGTCGCCTTCCCATATGTTTCTTTCTTTCCCTGTGGGATGGCAGAACCACCCCTCTGACATCTCCTCCATCTGCTTTCCCTCACGGCTGTGCAAGTCAGGGGCACACAGCTCTCACCAGCACTGCCTTTTCCCAGGGGTTGTCGAGAGCTTTTGTGCTCCCCAAACCACCCCCTCACCACTGTGATCATAGCATGTACTCCTCGTGTCCCACCTCTCCCCCAAGAAACTGCTTTACTGCAATTACAACTTATCTTCACTGTTGGTGAAGAACTTAAGTCATTATTTTGCCAAGTGCAGGAAATGTGAACCATTCTTTGCATCCCCTCATCACAAGGAGTTTGCCGGTTGTTGAATCAAGAAGATAAAAATAATCCTCCCTGTTAGAATAGCTTTTGTAATCATGTGTGACACATAGGGCTGCACATGGAGAGGTCAACATAAGGAGGAATAAAAGGGGCCGTGCCCCCAAAGATGCTGCAGGCAGAGCTGGCCATCCCTCAGCCTCCGTGTATGGGCACAGCTGTACTGGCCTGAATGGTGGTGAGCATGGAGCTTGGTCCCATGAATTAGGAGAGGAGGTCAATGTTCAGTGGGGAGAGTGTGTGAATCCCCTCCCGTGGGCAGGTTTGCATCACGCAGACCCGCAGTCAGATGGATTTTTTGACTCTGCAGCCAGCTGACCTCCCCCCAGCATGGGTTGAGCACAGCCGAGCCAGCATCTGTGGTCCTGGTGCTGACGCTGTCAGAAGGCAGCAGATGATGTTATCTGGACGTGGCTCGGTGAAGTGGTGAAATGTCCTTTGAGTTCCCTCAGTACCACAACCCCTAAGGCCTGCTGCCCTCCCCACACACACGGCCCCGCATAGCGCTGGGCTCCTTGGGGCTCCCGCAGTGCCTGGCTGGGCATGGGTCTGTGCTGCCAGCATGAGCTAATCCTGACATACAGTAAATATTAGCAGGCAGAGCGGTGGGAATCAGAAGGAAAATATTTAACAGTTCATTCTCTTTGTACAAAGATTTCCATTTAGAACGTGAACTGCGGTGTGCCTCTGTCTGGTGTTTCTTTAGAAGGATGAAAAACCTCAGCGAAACGGTCACATCTGCAGTAGCGGGGTGGAAAGCTGGGTTGTTGATGCTTAGAAAGAGTGGGGGAAGATTTGTCAGAATTCATCAGATTCCCACTTTTCCAGTGACAGGGCAGGACTGACAATTTCACATGGACTGGTTCGGCTCTTGGGTACATCAGTGCAGGCTGCACAAGAAAATCAGGCTCGGTAGCGTTGTCATCCTGCTGTGTGCCTGCCTGTGCTGGTAGGAAGGAGTTACCAGCTGAGCGAGTTCCAATTTTTTTCCTCATTAACCTTCATTAAAAACAAAGCCAAAAGCCAGACCTAAGCCACCAAAGAAAAAAAAAAAAAAAGAGCCAACCCAAAGCCCCAATCATAATTTTGTGAAATGAAAATAGGAAAAGCACATTTTATTTTTCCAGGAGGTGTAATTCCAAACAGGGAATGGAAAGCTCCATTTCCACTCACAAGCCAGTGCAGTTATGAATGCATAAACCCAGATGTAAATTATGTTAAATTTCCCTTGGTGGAATCAGTGTAATACCTATCAGAAAGCACAATATTTAAAAAACTGGTAATTGCGAATAATGTAAATGTGGAGAATGTTTTGGAATAAGTGAGCGTGTTGTGCAGTGCATAAGAACGTTAGTCATGGCTCTTCATATGTTTGTTTGTGTCCTTGGCAGGCTTCAATGGCTGAGAACAGTATACCTCTATACACTACTGCTTCCATGGGAAATCCCACTCTGGGCAACCTAGCCAACGTGATGAGGGAAGAGCTTAATGGTGCAATGGAGCATACGAACAGTAATGGGAGTGACAGTAGTCCAGGACGTTCCCCTATGCAAGCAATGTGAGTATGGCAGGGCTGCACGCGCCGGTGGAGGCGTTGTCTTATCTGCTGGAGTGTGACTGTGGAGGTTCTTGGTGTGAGCAGCACAAGTCCATCTGGGGAGGTGCTTTGGCTAAGGAGAACATAAAAGGGCCATTTACCAACTTTCACATAAAGGAATCAGCACAATCCAGTCTGACAAGCACGTGGGACTGTAAAATTGTTAACTCATTTGTAATTCCCTTCTTTAAACCTTGGGCCGTGGGGTTGCTATACCTCTTAGGCAACTGCGTTTCTCAGAGGAAGGACCGGTGCTTTCCTCCCCTTCGGAGAACACGGCAAGCGTGCCCGTGGGGCCGGGCTGGGAAATGGGCCTGTTGGGCAGGTTTGACAAACACTTGATGCACAACAGTCTCGCTCAGCATTAATGATGGCACACGTGAAGGTCTGCATGATTTATAGATTGCTCTTAAAATATCAAAAGGAAAATTAATAGGAGCATTATAGCAACAGACGGCAGTATAATGAGTGCATATATAACCGCATGAAGTAATGGGGGATTGCTGTCCCTGCTCAACGTGAATGGCACCAGGGCAGCAGCTCGCTCAGGAAAGGGTAAGGCAGGAAGGGTGTGATGCCCCTATGGGTGTGCTCAGTATTTATGGGGTGATGGAGTGAGTTTGCAAAGCTGTAAATTCCCCCCTCCCCTCAGATTGCATACCGGATAATTGGCAGCTGGCAAGGGAGCCAGAGTTTATATGTCTTGCAGTTCTCAAATGTGAAAAAGTACCTCAACTACCTGTGCGAGTAGCTGTGCTCAGGAGCCCACTGCCATCCCGCTGCTGGTTCGTTAGAATGGGCCGCAGAATTACTGGCTGCTTCGCCACAGCTCACATTACACATTAAAAAGAGAACTAATTTGTCGTCTTTCACTTCAAAGTAATTTGAATAAGGGATTTACAAAAGTAAGTCTAAATCAAAAAGTAGAAAACATTAACCTAATACCACTGTAGTAATTAGTTGTGAAACTAATTAGCATTTAATGGCAAAAAAGTTTCCCACCTGCATAATGTGTTGTCAGAGGGGAGGGGGGCACGGAGGAATCTGAAGCTCTGGGTGCTTTGATATCGCAGCATTTTAAATCAGCGCACAATGTGCTTTGAAAAAAAACATCTTTAAAGATGGCAACATTCATTTTTAATTAATAATTAATTTTAAACATTGTCTTTTACCATTTACTTCAAAACATTCAAATCATCTGTTTAGCTTTTCCAGTGGTTGTTTGTGCAGTATTAATTATCTCTCCCAAAGTCGCATTACGTGACACGCTTCCCGTCGATCAGAAGCAGATTCATCTTGAGGCACTTTGAGTCACAGTTTGTTATCCTCTGCCCGTGACCACGCAGGGCCGGAGTGGAGGAGGAGCACAGGGACGTGGGTTTTCTCCAGAAATGAGGCTTCTCCCAAGGGTTTCTCCTGGCCTAACAGACAGGGACAAATGTTTCTGATGTTGCGTTAATCCAAGTAATTATTTTTTGTGAGTTCAAGGCTGGCGAAGTTCGTGCACTTCTCTTTCCACCTAAGGTTTCGTTGTCTTTGAAGAGACTGTGAGGGGGGGAAGTAACCGAGTTGAAGCAGGCTAGGACATTTTCCAGAACTGCATAGCCGTGGCCTTTGTTGCACTTAATAATCATCTCTTAGCACATTGATACCAAGGTGAGGGGCACCGAACAAATACTGGAGAGAGAGGAGGAGGGGGGGAGGGATGCCTCATTTTCATTATTCACCAGAAAATCCAATTTTCTGTTGTAATATGGAAATGATTGTTTCCTGAGTGTTTTCATTTTCTCAGAATTGATAATATATGTGTTCTCTGCTGAACATTTCTTTTTGCTTAAGTAAAACGTGGCGAGGTGATGTTCCAATCCCAGTCTGTGAGCTTGCCCATTAAAATGGTGTTTCTAAGTAGTAGGAAGGGATCTAAAGCCAGAACACCATTCAAATGCCTCAAGTTTGCCCTGGTTAGTAAATAAAATCCAGAGTCAACAGGGGATTTCCAGAAGCTGTGCAACCCCTGACTGTCAGTGAGCGTGCTTTGGTAGTGAGTTTCCAGTCTTTTTCTCGGTGCAGATTGCCTTGTCCCAATGCAAATGATTTTTTAAACAATTTCAGTATATTAAAATAAATCAAGCTTTAAACTTTATTGTAAGGTTTAGAGGACCTTGTTAACATGACAGCTAAGAAGTCTAACACTTTAGCTGAAGTCTTATTACCACTCATTCGTTTCCTTTTTATGACACATTGAACCACAGCTAGGTTGTGTTTTTTTTTTCCCCTCTCCCTCCTTTTGAAACACTAGAAAGTAGTCGCATAATTACAGCTTGGGGACATAACACTTTCATCCTGATATGCTCCAAAGGTAGCCACAAAGCAAACTACTCCATGCTGTGTGCACCACCAGAACTCAGTGGCTTTAAACAACAGTCAGCTTTATTAAAAACTCCTCTGTTCCCAGAGTGGACAAACAAAAGAATTACTCAGATGTGAAAAGAAGGGGAATCAGTGTTCAGCAAGGTTATTTATTGTTAACCCCTTCTGGAGTCTTAGGCATCTACTTAAAAGGAATGGGCTGAAATGCTGCTGATACAAAAAAGAAATAGGAAACCCTTTCTTTTTTTATTCTTCTTTCTTTTCCCTCCTTTCTTGTTTTTTTTTTGGGGGGGGGGTTTTTTGGTTGTTTTTTGCCTAGCCCAGCATTTACCTTTTTTGTAGTTTAGAGGTAAGAGTTTCTCTTCCCCCCCTAGTAAGGAGGTGGTAAATAGAGATTCAGACATACTTGAAAGATGTGAAAATCTCCCTTTGCCTTTGAGCTTACTTTAACTGAATGTTGTCAAGTTGCTCTGAAACGTTTGAGCAAAATCCTGGATTCGATCAGGTCTCTTCCTCGCATGCCACTTTGTGGTTACAAATGACAGAGGACGCAAGGAGATGAATTATTTTTGTATTCCATGCAAATCCCTCCCAGGGGGGTTGCATTACCCAGATCACCCTCTTAATTTGGGGGATGGAATCCTTCCAGGCTCACTGTCTGATGTCTGTCCAACACGTGAGCCCTGTAGGAGGACATTGTGGCCGTGCCCCATGGCTTTGTGGGCCCCTCTGCCTTGTCTCGCTCACGGTCGGGCAGCATAAGTTCTTTGCTCACTTTGCTTTTCAGTCCTTAAGTTTTGCTTTTGACTTCTGGGAGCAGAACCAAACCTCAAAGAAAAACTCAGTTAGAACCACCTGGTTTCACCTGCTTTCATAACAAAACAGACGGTGGTCAGAGTTTGCTGTGGACAGGTTCAGAGGCCTTTCAAGGAGCTTTCACAGAATTTCGGGTTCTTGTGAGCACAGCGGTCACCGGCCATATCTGGTGGTGCCCATTTGTTCCTACCCAGCAGGTGGGAGGTTGTGATGGGAGACCAAGATATGGCCCCTGTGTCCATTGTGAGAAACGCGTTCTGCTCTTACCTTGGAAAATGTTTGGTCTGCATTTCCAAAAATAATAATTAAAAAGCAAAAACAAGCATGGCAGTAACATCAATACCAGAAGGGCAGCAAACATGACCTAAATTAAAACAGCAGTAGAAGAGGTCCCTGCCATAAAGGCCAAGTAGCGCTCACTTCATCCGTCTGTGCGCATCGCCGTTCTTTCCCTATTTCTCCTGTTTTTCATTCCCCTTTTTCTCCCAAGCGAGGGCCCCACAGGCCATTCATAATGGAAGTTTTTCTAGTTGCAGATAATCAGCATGGTTTCACATTTGTGCAGCCATGAGCCGCTGGGACACTCAGCACTTGTCCACCTTGGCAACTGCGAGCAAGATGCTGTATATGCAGCACTGGTAGCTCTTCCTGCTCTTAGCCCCCAAGACTGGAATTGTCTCTTCCTCCTCTTTTTTTCCCCTTCTTTTTCTGAAAATGGCAGAAGACCTGGTGATAGAACACGTATTTGTAAACTGGAAGGAAGAAGGTATGTGTGCACAGATGCAGTAGCAACCCTTCTTTTGGTTGGGTGGGCAAGAAGGTGCAGTTAATACCTAAGTATTGACCTAGCCCTTTCAGCACTCAGGAAGTTGAAATATGCAGGGACTTGAAAGACATTCACATCTCACATTAGAGATACGTGTAGTCAGCAAGTTAGATCCATCCCCAACTGAATTAAATAAATAGGGGGCTTTGAGCACAGTACAGACAAACAGCTGGTTCTCTCTGGTCTCCTGAAACAGGCAGAGTTACCTTTGGCTTGTGTGCTAGGTGCAGAGTACATTTCCCTGTTCCACGATTTATTCTTCCTGCCTGTCAGTGCAGCCGAGTACAGAAAGTACTGCCATTCTATCTACACAAAGCGTGCAATAAAATACAGCTATTTTAAATCATTTTAAGGCAGAGCGTGCAAGGAAGGAAAAGTTCTTACAGGGGGTGTTTGCACTCAGATGTTTTCAAGTAGTCGACGTGAAAGGGTTAAATTAGCCTGCCTGGAAAAAAAAGAACAGGACTCTAGGAGGTGGATATCAACTCAATGAGAGACAGAGTGGGACTTGAACTCATTAACACTTTATTTTAAGGGATTGCCTACAACATCAATTATTTAGGAAGCAAACAGGGTCTCCATTGCTGTGTCGCATTATTAATACTTGGTAATGTCAATAAAATCCTACTTTCCTATAAAGTCCCACCAACAAGACACTATTGACTCACATGGCTATTTTACATTTCAAAAGCTGCCGAACACAGAAAGAAAAGGTAATTTGTATTTGTATAGGATTTGTTGTAAATATGATTTACGAACAACATTTTTCAATTGTTATCATACCCGTTTTGAATGACCAAGCCCCGTTCCCCTGCGGGTTATTCATGTGCTGTGCCATAATGAGAAATTTGGCAGATCTCATCTCTTCAGTACATCCTTGTGCCCACCGTGAGCTGGGGATCATGTTCTGCCTTGTTTACAGCTGACAGTGTTATTATTCTCGTTAGGACTGTGCTTTCTTATCATATTGTTGTGTTGAGCGAGCCTTTTCCTCTCTGTTTGTGTTTCCTGGCAGGGCTTTTCTTCCCTTATTGACAGTTTGTAAAAATATGCATTAATTTGGAGTTTAAAGCATGTATCATGGTGTCTCTTTGCTGTGTTTGCTTGAAGTTGATTAATGATAGAACCTCACTTGGGGTCGTCCTCTGGAGAGTTGTCTCACAGGTTCTGCATGTTAACGAGCGACGCCGCACACACAGTGCAGTGATTAGCCCAACCTCCGCCGGCTTGGCGGGCCGGCAGCCCGCTCCTTTGCTTTTCGGGTGCTTATTCCACTTATTTATCCAAAGCTTGTATTCATCAACTTAACGTGTCAGCTGAGAGCACTTTCTCTCGATGCCGAGCCTGAAGGCCCATCGAGGTGCTCCTCCCGTTTCCCCCGGGAGGCCGAGCGGCGGAGCGCAGCCTTCACAGCCCGGCTGCACGTTCAGGCTCTGCTCCTCAGCGCCCTGCAGCTCCGAGGGCCCAAGCCGCCCCGCGTTGCTGCCCAGCCCCCCGAGCTGTCAGAGCCGTGTTGGAGCGAGCAGCTCGCTGAGTGACCGTGTTTTTGTTTTTCCAGGCACCCCGTGCATGTCAAAGAAGAACCGCTAGATCCAGATGAAAATGAAGGCCCGCTCTCCTTAGTGACAACAGCCAACCACAGTCCAGATTTTGATCACGACAGAGATTATGAAGACGAACCTGTAAATGAGGACATAGAATGAGTATGTCTGACGTCATCATCCTGAGAATGAAGATGGGAAGAACACGTCAAACCTAGCTGTGAAATCTCTCCATTGTTGTACAGTCTGGAGGATTCTCAGTCCGCTTTGACAACTATGAAATATGTTAACTCTTAGTGCCATCAAGTATCCCATTTGGGAGTATTTTTGATTTTTCTACTTTTTGTTGAAAAAAGGAATTTGTACTCTGTGCATTGGATGGACTTGTTTGGTACTTGGGATTTTCCTCTCTTACAGTCAACGTCAGTGTTGTAAATTTGCTAAACTGATTCACTTACATTTAGCAGCCAACTGTGGACTGCAGGTCCTGCCAATTTTGGACACTTGAGGACATCAAACTGAGCATGTACACCAGAACTGCAGATCAAGTCTTTGCCCAGATTTTAAGGATTCCAATGGACAACATATTTGCACAGTACTGCATGTTGATTATCACTGCCTTTACTCCATTTTGTTGTTTTTCGGGTTTTTTGTTTTGGTTTGGTTTTTTTTTTGGTTTTTTTTTTTTCTGTTTTGTTTTTTGTTTTGCTTCCATTTGGGATGGGGAAGGCCTGTGTGTGCACGTGTGTGGATATGTGTGTGTGCGTGTGAGCGTGTCTATCGGGGAGGGGTTAAAAAGAAAAAATTATCCCAAACTTTTTAATGTATTGCTTTTATTCCCCCGCCCCACTTCTCCTCTACCATTTTAAGTTCTGACCTCAGGCCTCATCTGGGCCCAGGGCCTCTCGGAGGCTTCAACGTTTTCTGTACTTTGTGATGAATGTTAATAGGTGTTTTTATTATACGAAGCTGAATGTCATTGAATTGTTTGTAGTTTTTTCTGTCATTCATTCCAGTTTCCTTCAGATGCCACCATGTTTTCTTTAGCTGTGGAAAACATTCCATTTCGGTGTCTCTATTTTTGTTATTGTTTTTTGAAGAGGTCCCAAATGCTGCACTATACATGTGGAAGGGTTGTCCAGCGGAGAGAGAGAAACGAAGTACTGCAAGAATGAGAATGAATGGCAGATGAACATAGAAACGCTGTAGGAAGCAACACAGATTCATTCCGCAAAGCAGTATTTTTTTGTTGTTGTCGTTTTGGGTTGGTTTTTATTTTGAGATTTCTTTTTTGGCAGCAATGGTGAATATTAGCAAATGCCACAAAATGGAACAGCACAAAGAAATGTATGCAGCACCAACAGAATTCACTTTTATTAGAGGATGGATAGTACAGTGGCAGGCTCTCGGTTGTTTAACACGAGTTTTAATGGGTCAACAAATCTTTCTGGAATATCTAAGATTACTGAGATGGGCACCTATACATTTATTATGACTTTTTTTTTTTCTTTTTGCATTTGCATTGGCAAATAGTGGTTGGAAAGATGACTTCATTAAATTGTTATTGTACGTGGCGATGTTTCACGGTTAAACATCAGTTCAGGATTGCTTGGTGGCATTAATCTGTTTGAATACAAATTAGATTTCAGATTGAACTTGTTACGGGAGTTAATAAGGACAGAGCCCCACTAATGCTGAAGTGTTAATTTCAACTGTGCAAATCCAGTACTGCGGTTACGATTGTTATGCAATATTACACCAGCCAGTATGGAAACCTCACCGTAGGAAAGGGGAAATACAGGAGAGAATTCGCACCGGGGCTTGTTAGGCACGACTGGCGATGCTCTTCAAGGCAAACATGATATGCAGAATTTGTTGCTATAGGTCAGTAAACCTTGGTCACCAAACACCTAAACGTTTTCGTTCTGCAACCACTTTTCCGTCACTCATTTATTTATGTAGGACTGTAGCTTTTTTATTATTTCAAAAAGCCTTTCAGAGCTTAATTTATATTCTTCTTTGTACCTTTTTTTTTTTTTTTTTCCTAAAATTACCAAAGATATTACACAAAGGTAAATTATGTTCTCTGTTATATGCTTTATCTTGTGAAGCCAAATATCCTCTTATTGTTGATCAAAGGAGGTTGAAGAATTTAGAGGGAAATGACAAGCTGTGGGCTATTGCTAACCTGAGAGGGAAACTGCTCCTTTATTCTAGAACATTTAGAAGGCCAAGTAGATGTCTGAACCAAAGTTGTTACTTTTTATTTGTAGTTCTTTACAGTGACCAAAATGAAATTCTGTAAAGAGGAAGGGAGGAGAGCTTTTGAGGCTAAAACCAGGAAACAGTGTTACTGGGGACGCTAGGGATGGGAGCTGAGAAAGCAAGACGCAGTTATTTTGCAGAGAATTAGAGTATCAGATAAAGGAGACAGTTTAACAAAATGCAGAAGAGAACAGAAAAGCTCCCACAATTTAACTGGACCGCATAATAGTATTTCTAGTTTTGAAAAGAAAAAATAATAATAACTAATTTGGTCTTTGGTTCTACAGATTGTGTGCCACTTCTGTTTCGGGATCGTGCTAGGATGACTGCTTTCATTTTGGTTGATCTTGGCAAATTTGCTCAGTTTTGTTTAGTTTTCGGTCAGCATTTTTCATAAAGAAAGAACACTCCTGTCCACTCATAAGCTTTGGTACAAGAAATTTTATTGGCAGTTACTTTTATAAAACTCAGCTCTGCTTTCTGTTAGGAAAAAAGAAAAAGAAAAAAAAAAAAAGGAAAAAAAAAAAAAGAGAGAAATGGGGGGGAAAAAAAAAAAAACAAAAGAAAAGAAAAGAAAAAAAAAAAAAGGGCAGTCTGTGGTCATTTGAAACATTTATTTTTCTTTAAATTATCTCCAGGCAGCTTCGTGCCGTGCCGGCGGTAGCCAGACAGGGATGGCGAGAATTGAGCCCTGTCCTTCTAAACTGAGTGGTTTGCTGGTTAGTTGGGTATTCAGAAGGGGACAAAAATCCGGTAGATTAGTTCATTCTCAGCATGTGTAGCTAGACATGAGTAAAGATAACAGCATGAGAAACTGTTAGTACGCATACCTCAGTCCGAACTGTTAGGGAATGAGTAAATAAAAAATACATTTCACTCAGTTGCACTTAGTTGTATGTCTTGCATGCTTAGTCTAAAGACTGTAGCAAAAATATTTAAAAAAAAAAGAAAAAAAAAGGAAAAAAAAAGAAAAAAAGCGGAAAAAAAAAAAGGAATAAAAAATTAGATTTTAACCTATCTGGCAGGTGTCGCAGCCTTGCAGAAGAACCAACTGAAAATCTCAGGCTTTACATCGAGCAAACTTCACTATGATTTTTACAGTTCCGATTCTGTATCCCTTTGGATATACGGTTGCTTCTTTAGGGAGGGGTTTCCTATGTTGTACATATATATCCCACTGTGTCTGTGTGAGCCTTTGTCTTGGGGGGTGGGGAGGGTGGAAAAGGTGGCGAGGTCCTTTTTTTTAGATACTGTTCCTCAAAAGGAATAAATGCAGACCTGTTTGTCAAAACACCTTTTGCTTTTTGTGCAACTGCTTTATATTAACTATACTAAAAAAAAAATAGCTTTGAAAAAAAAAAAAACTACTGTATGTAATGGAATTGCAGAATACGCTGCACATGTATTTTATTTAGTTATCCTTGCTTTAAGAATATTGGATGACATTTGCTGACATGTGGGAGAAAATCCCTGACTTTTTTTTTTTTTTTCCAGCTTTTAAATTGTAACATAGTTGACAGATTTTTTTTTTTTTCCTCTCTCTTGTTATCATGGATCGAAGCATTTTTGTACAGTTTTTGTGTTGAAGCTGTTTTTTGGTTTATTTCGTTTTGGGTTTGTTTGTTTTGATACTTTCCCACCCCTTCTGTTATCTTACCACTGCCTTTTCTGGCTGTCTCCAACAAAGTTCATATATTTGAAAGGTTAAAAAAAAAAAAATCATTTAAAAAAAAAAAAAAAAGAAAAAAAAAAAAAGAAAAAAAAAGTTTTTCTCCTGCTGCAGTAAATATTTTGCATGATGAGTTCCAGGGTCACACTTTCAAAGTTTATCAGTGAAGTAGTGATGAATAACGGGGGAGTGTCAAACTATTGAACTTTTTGTATAAAAACAAACAAAAAACTTTACAAGGTGCCAAGATGTAAAGACAATTTGTTACATGTTTTTTTTCTCAAAGAAAAGCGTACATTATGAAAGTAGTACCATGTATCAGGTAAATCGCTGTCAGGAATGAGAGTCAAAGCCTTCCTTGTCCACAAAACCAAGTTTGTAAATGTAAAACCTGTTAGGTTTCTGCATTCGACTAGAAGTGAAATGAAAAAATCAAGGCTTATGTAGAGTAAGTGACCACAAAAGAGGACCTTTTTTTGATTCTCACTCGCAAGAGTCCGGCAAGAGTTCCTGGAATGCCCCAATTCTGGAGCCCCGACTTCAGGGAGAGACCGGGGCGGGGGTTCTCATCCTACAAATATTGCAGATCATTAGATATTTTATATATATACATACATAAATATATATATATATAAAGTTTTTAAAAATAATTTTGAACTATTGTAGTTTTCAGATTGCCAATATTCTCACGCTCATTATAGCATGGAAAAAAAAAAAAAAAAAAGAAAAAAAAGAAAAAAAAAAAGCGTTTAAACTCTTTTGAAATCCTTTGGTACCTTTTGTTAATGAACTCAGATTGAGTTTTTAGATGTTTCAGAAGCAATTTAGTATTCTAGTCTTGCGAGGTGAACTTGCAGTCATGACTGCATTTTAACGGACCCAGAACAGGTAACAAACTATCTTCTACCCATAAGCCTTGATGAAAATGGTACAGTCCAGACTGTTAGCATGGTGCTTCGTGTGTATGTGCTGCCAGTAACAAGATTTTTTTTTTTTTCTTTTGATAAGGCATAAAAGAAACTCATTCCTTACATCAACTGTAATTCCATCATTCCATGTCTGTTGATACAGACAATAAAAAATGTTGTGTAGTCAGTACTAATTACTGACATTATAGCATTCTCAAATGCAATAAAAATGCTGGTTGTTCACACTGGTAATGCGAGTTGCCATGTCCTACGTTTTTTTGGTTTTGTTTTTGGTTTGTTTCTCCTCCCTCCCGGCTCCGTGTCGCATCCCCAGCAGCCCCACAGCAGACCCTATGGAGGCCTGCTCACCCCTCACCCTGTCCCTGCCCATCCAGCACGCAGTCCATCGCGCCCCTGGGACCTCCCCAACCACGCTGAGTTGCAGGCTTTTAGCTGCAGATTCCTGGCTGGACAGGGAGCTCGTTCGGGCCTTGAGTGCTGGATCTGAGGAGGATGCCATCGTATGGAAGAATTCATCTGCTATCCAAGCAAGTCCATCGGAGTTTGCCTGTTTGGTTCCTGGGCAGCTGGGGGTATTTGCTTTCTCGATGGGCTCAACTTCAAAGGTGGAAGCATGAAAAAAGGGTTTGGTTCCTAATCTTGCAAATCCTCCCCAGTGCAGTTCCTTAATGGGAGCTGGACCGGACAGTTCCTCCTGGCTTCAGCGGGAAGGGCTTGGCAGGTGCTGTATGTACACAGAACGGGCTGCAAGATGGATCTCAGTCCACACCACCATGAGAACAACGTTCCGAGTTATGCTGTCACCTGAGACAAACTTTGAGAGGAAAAACCCACCTTTTTTTTTTTTTTTTTTTTTTTTGAAGTACACTTTTATTTTCTTCGTCAAGTTTTATAAAGAAAAATAAAATGTTTAATAACTAGCATTAGCAGTAAACCAGAATTTCAGAGGAGGGATTTTTTCATGAATAATTCATTAAAATTTCACATCTGCAAGATTAGTCATCCAAATAAAATGCTAATGTCAAAAACATGCACCGTCTATAATATTCTCATCAAGAAATCTTTTTGCATATAATGATAAATGCTTAAATTAGTACAAATGATTTTATAAAAATATTCTATCATAAAATTATACCAGATAACTGCTTTTTTTTTTTTTTTTTTTTTTCTTTTTTTAGGGGGAGGGGGAAAATCTTGCACACTCATTACAACATGTCTCAAAATTGTATTGATGGGTGGATTTTGCTAATGAAAAATGCAAAGGATAGGATTTGAGTTAGGTCACATATCGCTCTTTTATCACTAGTGAAGTTTTAGTACATGGGAGAGGTCTTGCTTTTGTAGTTGAGAAAACATTCCTACGTCACTGGCAGAAGAGTGTTTATTTTGGAAGGAGTGCTCTGTGTCTCCAAAGCACGGGTGGTGGGGTCAGCTCCAGGTAGAGGAACATGGCCTGGGGAGATCTCAGCCCCTTGGATGAGGATGCTTGTCCCCATAGGGGTCACCCTGGCTTTGCACAGACCAGGAGGGGATCCAGCCTGAAGACAGCCATGGCCTAGCACGGGAGCTGGAGGCCCAGCACAGCATGATGCTCGCTGTGCTTTGTGCATACAGCTGCTGATGAGCTGCATAACGCCCTCTGACCTGGGCTGTGATGGCAAAGGATGGCAGGTTTCACAGCAGTGGCCTGATGGAAGGAACAACCAACTGTTGGTGCTGTTCACTCCCACAGAGACGTGCCCTGCAGCACAACAAACTCTAATTAGCCCTTTTAACCTAGTAATCAGGCTGCGGCCCCAGTGATGATGTTAAACGTTGGTTTAATAGCGAGTTAGTCGGGTCATTGCTCAAATTCCTTGCAGAGGAGGTGAGCTCTGCCCTTCACCCAACTGCCATGATGGTGGTGCTGACAACTGCCGGGTGCTTCATGGCCAATACTGCCACTGTGACTGGTGACGTCCCCTTCGTGCCATACACGTGTCCCTGCTCACCCTGTAACTCTTTGTCCCCATCTGCCATTACACCTGGTAGAGGCCCTCTCCCTGCCCCATTTTATCGGCTCCATTAGGCAGATGCAAAGCACTTGGGCTGGAAATAGTCAACAGCATTGCGCGGAGTGTTTAACCCAAAACAGCCCTACCTCCAATCTTACTCAACAGGGAATTCCTCTATCTGGAAAAAGAGAAATGGAAACACCACCCCTGTGGCTGGAGCTGCATCTTCATTTGTTTGGAAGCCCTCAGCAGCCATTTTTGATGCATCTCAGAAGCCTAAAAAATGTTGTGTTTTTTTTTTTTCTTCAAGCAATAATGGTAATTTGAAGGTAACCGTCCTTTCAAGGATTAATTCCAGCCAAAGCAATAACCATTATTTACCAGAGTTTGACATTTTTATCACTCATCATATTAGCAAATTTCCATTGAAAATGCTAAAATGGTTCGTCATAAGGCACATAACTGCTTTGGCTGTAAAAATGACCAACACAAGTGCCTGTACTCAAACATTAAATTATACTGTAATTAATAAAGACAGTTAAACTGTCTACTAGCAACAGCAATTTAGGTAACCACATTTGATCGGCTATAAATTGTAACTACATTAACATTCCAGAAATATTAGCAATATGGATTACTTGATGGAAATAGGTGCTGATCACCAACACTCCTATTTTACAACGGAAGCACAGGTCATGTTGGCCACAAAACCGTGGGCGAAGATCAAGGCTGAGTACTTTTAATCTTGTGAAACAAGCAATTACAAATAGTTGCATCGATTTGTTAAAAAGCTTTAGGTGACATAAATTGTTTCCTGTTTAGCTTATTGCTCTGATACATAAATGTCACCCAGTATAATATTAATTAGGGTCACAGAACAACAAGGGTCGGGTGATATAGTGTGCCATCACAGATGTGTCAATGCTTTGTGCAAGATGGGGAAGGCGAGAAAAGCTCCACTGCAGCGCCCAGCTCCTAATTTTACGCGATGACAAAGGAAAGTAAAGGAAACCGTGTTTTAATATGTGAAGTAATTACTTTAGTACCAGTATAATTTTACGGTTTAGGATAAATTACAATGTTTTCATTCTCGTGCTCTTGCCACATAACATAAAACTCCACATATAGCATCAATAAAATAGAATACTGTTTATAAAGTCTTTCTGCTGCACAAGACCAACACTATTTCTCCCGGCACATGGAAACTAAGCACACACTGCAGTCTGGTGTGTGTTTCTACACTTAATTTTTTTTTTAAACCCCAAAACGGGCTGTGCAGGTTATTTACTTAACATAAATCAAATGTATCATACACACTGTTTCTTTGGATTGGCATAGAACTTAGAAAAATACAGTAAGATTCTGAAAAATCTGGAGAAAATTTATTAAATATGATTTTTACTGTAATAGAATATTAATGTAACCCAATGCTCATTTCCCATTAAGTTGATCCCTTTTTAATACACACATGCTTTTTATTATTTTGCACTCATGCGAAAATTCCACATTCAGAGAGTTTCCATCTCCTTAGGAATGTCTCTGGCAAAGGCACAGTAAGAAATCTTGAACCGAGGAAAAAAAAAACAAACCAGACAGCAAATATCGACCGATAAGATGTGGCAACGCGCTGATGAACTGAAGCAAAAGCCGATGATATAATAAAGGGTAAAAAGGCATTCAGCACTGCGAGGGGAACAGGAGAAACAATTACGCTCCAAATCCCTCCTTCTCGCTGCCACTGTACCACAGCACAGATGAAAATGTTTGATTTGCAACATAAAAGATTCATTAATTACCACTTGAATATTTAAAGCTATTTTGCAGACTAACAGAGGTAGATAAAGCACTGAATTAAAACCTCTAATAAAATTGTAAAAATATTTCTGCAAGTTTACCGGCGTTGCGATTCCTCCCGGTTTTGGGAGCCAGGCTTGGCGCGTTGCAGAATGGATTCTTTCTCTTTTTTTTCAAGTGGGTATTTGAAGTACGATGGTGCAATTGCACTGCGCTATTTGTCTCTCGTTTCCAAATGTTTACCAGATACTTACTGGGAATCTCGCTCTTCACATGTGGTCGCCCTTTGTGGGAGAAGTAGCTGCTACAAAACAATACAGCGAGCGACGTGTGTGTTTGAGCCATACATTCATTTTAATACATTTCCATATACAGTAAAAACTCGTCTAGTCATAAGTCTGCCATAATACTCTCTCTGATATGAGACAGTTGTGCTTTGTGGAGGGAAAAAAAAAATCTGTTAATCCCATTATAATTACCCTTGTTAGACTTAAAAAAATATATATATATAAAATAAAATTGGAGATATATCATTTTCTGCAAGGGTGGAGGGCTCAGCAGATCGCAGGAATGTGCATTGCAGAGAGCATCTCTGTAACTGCACAGCGCTCCCTGGATTTGCACCAGGGGGCCTGAGCAGTGAGCCTGGGGCTGAGGGAATCTCCTGTGTTACTGATGGCAAAGGATGTGCCGTCCTTGTACACCCAAAAAGAATAATGCAAACTATATATATTTTGTATATATGTGTGTGTATTTGCACCACTTCTGCCTGTTGCCTACACGGTACTTCAGCCTAGCCTCAAAGCGTCGTGATCTCCATAGAATCATAGAATCATAGAACCATGAAGGTTGGAAAAGAGCTCTAAGATCATCCAGTCCTACCGCCCCCCTGCTACCAATATTGCCCACTAACCATGTCCCTTAGCACAGCTATCCTTGCCTTATCACCTCCAGGGACAGTGGCTCCTCGACCTCCCATTCCAGTGCCTGACTGCTCTTTCAGAGAAGAAATTCTTCCCAATATCCAACCCAATCCTCCCCTGGCACAGTTTAAGGCCATTTGCTCTTGTCCTATACACTGAAGATCTCAACTTGACACTGAGCAATCACATTTATACCTCTTTGCATTCGGTTGACATTTGTTGTTGTTGTTTTATAAGTAACGTTCTGTTTTTAAGCAAATGAAAATTTGTGATCCACAACAGTGCAGTGAGGACTGCAGGAGGAGGGTTGAAAGCTGAAGTCGTAGCTCTTTCAACAGTATGTTAACAACCACGAGTAGAGCCAAAGTGTATGAATTTAATAAGAGAAGAACAGTTACGGTTCTCTCTCATTGTCATTAATTTTATGCAGTTGGCCAAGGAAATGCAAAGAAAAATGTCCAGTTATATTTGGATATTCCCTTTACACAACTGTTCCTGTTGTAATTACCAAGCGTCCACTCCAATTAAATGGATGTTGAGAGTATTGCAGTGGCTCTGTGTAGCAGATGTGCACTTTCAGACGTTACTGTTGGCTAAGAGCGACTGCAAAAGGAGCATGGCTGTGGGCATCCTCAACCTGGGCTCCATCTTCACAGGCAAACAATAACATTCACCTTGCCAGAAAGGAAAGGGCGTTCTCACAGTAATTCAGGCCCTGTCCTTTTCTATTTATTTTTGTAAAGTCGATTTCAAATTTTCTTTTTGGACCATTCTCCTTAGTTCTTTTTAATTTGTGCTGAGCTGTTTGTACCACAGACCTCAACACAGAGCTGATTGGGTCCAGTGCGAGAACCTATGGCTCATTTACTGTGCGTGAAAATGGATTTCTCCTGGCAGTTTGTAAATATATGTGTATATACACCCAAATATGCTTTTTGTATGCTTTTTGATATGGAAGTGAAGTTATGCTATAGGAGCCCTGGCACTACTGCTTTCCTTGACACCCCATAGGAGGCGCATCATTAATTAATGGGAGATAAGAGCTGCCCTAAGTTGGCAATGGCTCGTACCCATCTTTACCTTAAATGCTCTGAGTAGGCCCCGAGTACTCCAATAGCAAACACGCACCCTTATCCATCATATTTTTGGCTTTGTTACCTTTGTAGGATGCAGGAAGGGAAAACTGTGTTCAGTGCCCATGATATCTATTGAAAACAAAAATACGAAAAATAAGAAGTAGAGCTTTTAATTATTTTGGCGAGTACCAGGGTTTCGTTTTAATTAAGTGCTCCGTTTATATATATTTTTTTTCCTGTTTCCTAGACATGCTGGACAGACTTGTACTGTATAGAATTGCACAGACAGAACTCTGGAGCACCTTCCAACACACGACTCTGGTGCCTCGTGCTCACCCATGCTATTCTTAAATACTGCTACTCTGCTGCATGCTCACAGCTTCTCCCTGGCACCTTGTGCCATTTGGGGTGTTCTCACCTGTTTGCCACACAACGAGTGCTAGCAAACTCAAAACAAAAACACCTGATAAAAATCAAATACTACACTGCTAACTGCAAAGTTCATTTCTCCTCAGAAGTCCTTCTTTAATTACAAAACCCGCATAACCCATTTCCTTTGGTGTGCAGAAAGGTGTGTAATTAAACTATCAGCATAATACCTTTCTACATGTAAAACCCGCACTTATGAACTTTAACTGCAGAATAAAAACTCCTATTACATGACCATTAAGTATTATGAATAAAGCAAGTCATTGTAGTACTTGATTAATTTTTATGCACTAAGCATTGTGTTCGGCACAAGTTTGGTTTCTGTCATGCAGCCTCTGCCATCTTCTCCCCCCAGGGCTGTGCTCCATTCCTCTGTGATGCTCCTGGAAAGTCCCTCAGGCTCTGTGCTGCTTCTGTGGCCATCGTGGAGGAGAACAAGTCTGTTTCTGTAACATCGCCATCGTGGTGTGGCTGGGAAATGGGGCTCAAGGTGAAGGTGGGGAAGACCAGGTCCCCTCTGCTCTGTGCATATCTCATCTCATCTCATCTCTGGGTAGGCTCTGAGGTTCTTCTCTGCTGGGGCCCTGATGTGCAAGGAGCTCCTTGGGAACTGCCTTGGGAATGGCATTCTGTATTCAGGGTTGTGAGCTCAGAGGAATCAATGGATGCTGATAAATTGGTTGTCAGTTTTTGACTAATAAGAGAAATCTGATTTGATCTTCTTTCACGCCAGAGTGGGAGAAAGTCATGCAAGGAGAACCCGTCCAGGTGCTCATGCCTACTGCTTCACAAGAGCCCAGAAGCATTGCCTTATACGTGTTACCTACTGCATGGTCCTCCCAAGAATGTGCCTTCCATGTACCAGCACCTTGTCAAGTGATGTGGGAAGGCAAAAGCGAGTATCCCAGCTCAAACCCACAGTTTTGGAGTCTCAATAGGCAAAAAGACTGGGCTGTATGGTGCTCAGTCCTGGGTGGCCAATGGGATGTCTTCCACCCTATGTGCAAACATTCAGGTCCCCAAGCCATCACCCATCAGCGCCTCACATCCACACTCCCATATGCTGTGCGATGATTACATTGAGGCTGATCTTTGATGTCTGGAGTCAGGAAGTTTAGCTCAGCTATAATCAATAGCATTTCCAGCTCTTGGAAATCTGCACTCAGCACTCAAAGCAGCCAGTCTGCATTATGTCCTTGTCATATGTATATATTTGCATGTTCATTAGCTATGTAGTAGCACAGCTGTACGTGGTTTCATTTAGCTTTTAATTATCTTCTTTGGGTTGGTGTTTTCATCTCCAGCAGACTTAGGAGAAAAAAAAAAAAAAAAAAGGAAAATCACTTAGGCAAAAGAAATGCTGCTGAGCAGGTCTGGGGCAAGGAGCACTGCTTCCTGGTGCATCCTACTGTTCCACCGCAAAAGAGATGTTTGGTTTGAAAGTTCCAGCAAATTAATAATAAATCTGTCTCTTCGTTTCCCCCCATCACATGCTTATCTTATTCAGGTGGTGAGGGAGTAATTTTTCATTTGAAGCAGGTGGTTGTTTACATAGTAGATAAACTCCATCCTTACAATCCTTGGCATGCATGTTTGTGTTTGCTCCAACAGCTGCTGCTCGCACACAGATCAAGGCATCCTCCTCTTTTGATGGAAATGACTCATACTCGGATGGGCTGAAACAGAAACACCATGCTCAGCTGCAGACACCTGCACTCGTGCACTGGCTTTAAAAGTTAGGATGTGGGTTTTAGCTAATTTTATTCTTTTTAGGTTCTTACACCACACCCTTTATTTTGGTTTCTGAGAAATTTCCATTAGCAAGAACAAAACAAGGTGACTAATATCTGCGCTGAACTTTCTTCTCCTTTCTTCCCAACCCCCCAAGCTCGGTGAGAAAGCTGAGATTTATTCCTTTTACTGTGATTACTGGTAATGAGTCCAGCATGACTGCTTTCTGCTTGGTTGGGACTTGGGGCCAAAGTGGCAAGGGTGGCCTTGGGTCCATCCGAGGGACTGGTTCTTGGCATTTCACTGCCTTTGGTATACTTTCCCTTTTTTGTCAATGGAATGGGGGTGCATTCGGCGCTGAGGAAATGAAGCTGAGCTTAACCTGAGCCAGTGTTGCTGATTTCTTCTTACACCAGTGGTTGGCAGAGGAAGAATTCCCAAGTGTCCACTGGGGAATTGGCACATGGCTGCCTGCAGCACGTGGTGCCTTACCCAGGGGTAATTACAGCTCAGGAACGATGCTCCTCTGCACCAGCTCCTCAAGCAGAGCTGGGGTGATGGCTGGAGCAGGCCTGGCCCTCTCTGCTCGCATTGCGGGAGCTCTCCTGTAGCAGGGAAATATATTTTTATCGTTTGCTTACCTTGACACTTCAAACATTTCCCCAGCAAGCTGAAGGTGTAATTAAATGACATGCCAGATGCCAGTGCACGTTATGTTATACCACCTCTCAGCTGGGCTAGCAAAAGGAATGAATGGAGCCTTAAGACAGCTCTCCTATAGTTACTTATTATCTCTTTTCAATGAAGAATGGGTAAGGTTGAGCAGGATGTCAGCAAACCTGTAATTTCCTAGCCTTTTGGTTACTTCTGTGCTTCTGATCCACCACTGATGTGAAGTTTTGTTGTACTTTTTTTGTTCTGTCAATTATGGCATCTCTCCAAGGAGGCGGCGGGCTCTCATGTCACACATGCATATTTATGGTAAGGTATATTCAGATTTTCCTGTTGTACCTGAAACCAGGTGTTTGGGCCTTTCGGGGTGGGTCTGCGGTGCTGCCTCCTCAGGGCAGCAGAGCTCTTGGGGCACTGTGCTTTCTCAAAGGCTAAAAGAATGCTGGCTGAGAAAATGACAGCAGGCTGTTGTAACTTTAGGAAATTAAATGATTTTTTTTCAGAACTTTAAGAACAGGATTTCTAGAATGTATTATCTTACTCCATTGTGTCTGCTACCTCAGAAGATGGATTTGGTGTCTCTCTTGGCTGTTGCTCTCAGCCTTTAGAGCGGCTTTGCAGGACACCAGCCCAGTTCTCGGGGAGACGAGATGTTGGCTGTCACAAGACAAACTTGCCAGCAAGATTTATTTACTTACTTGGAAGTGGAGATGTTGTTTTAATAATGCAGCCAGCGGGGAATGGAGGTGTTGGCCCGAGCAGGGGCTCTGCAGCATCCTGCGCTCTCGCTCAGCGCAAGGGCACAGCCCCAGGATGAGGAGCAGTGCAGGAGCCATCCCGCAGAAAACCCAAACCTTGAGAATTCTTAGTCTTGATATTTGTATTTAGTGAGAGCAGGCAAACAACAGTGTTTTGGTTCCAGAGGTTTTAATGGATCAGTGATGGCTCACCATCTGCATGTGCGAGGCACTTTGTTTAGAAAAGAGTGCCCGTAATTAAAGCTTAATTTACTAGCACTAACACCAACTTCCCTTAAAGTCCACGGTCAACAGCCACGCTCCCTTTCACTGGCATTTGCATTTCTAATTAGGACTGCTTGTGACCAGAAAGTCCCTGCAATTGACATTCCATTCAATGCATTTTGTTGTCAGACCAATGCTATGCAGCCAGGACAGTGCTGCAGTTAATGTTTTCTCTACTTTCTCAACCTGTGATATTTCTACTCCGGACAATAATTTCCTACAAATCTTCACTGAGACGGGAATCACTTTCCTTCTGTCATTTACTGATTGATTATTTTTCTTCTTATGGCCTTGGAGAACTGATATTAAGGAACCTCTTCAATGAGTTAGACAAAGCTCCCAGCTCCCTGGCTACTGGGGGCTCCCATGGCACTGCTCTCTTTGCCCCTGCATCAGTGCAAAGATCAGAACCCACCACTCTGCATGTGCTGTGAGTGATGCAGCACCTGCCAGGAGACCTTGCTGTTGGAATAGGCAGAAGAAAAGGGAAATATGGCTATTCCTCTTTAACAGGTGGGAAACCAAGGCACAGAGAGCTGATGAGGCTTGCCAAAAGTCAGACAGAAACCTGAAAACAGCCACAAACTGAATCCAGGTCCACTGAGACTCAGCCCAGTGCCTTCATCATTTGTCTCTTCACAGATTTTATTTCTGCAGTTAATTGAGCCATTCCCTTGGACAGACTGAGAAGCTTCCACCTCCAGCTATAGCACTGCTGCTCCTGTATTTCCTCTGCATGACCTGTAACTCCTCTCCGTTTCCCCCCATGCAGGTGGAGCAGCCTCCCTTGCCCTGCTGCTCTGCAGAGCCCTTCAGCAGTCATGTGCTTCATCCCTGACCTTCCCCACAAATAACTCCCCTTGTTCTTTCCTAACCTCAGCCCAATTTGCCCACAACATTGTGCTAATTAATGCCTACTGCAGAAATCACTGTAGATGTCTACTGAGCCTTCAAGCGGCCACTGTGAGCCACTCAAATGGAGAAGGAAGAATTGTGAGTACCAGCACATCCCAACCCATGCACAACTGAGCCCTAAGCCTGGCCATGAGCCCTCCATGCTAGAGAACCCCTTGGAGTAAGCAAAGAGCTTATGCAAATCCCCTGCTATCTGTCACAAAATGGAGCTCTTCATACTTCGGGAATGATGGGAGAAACAATCTATCGATATTCTGTAATGAGCATAAATGCCCTTTATAAATTGTTTCCCTTTATTGACTCTAAAGCAAATGTAGCTGTGAATGCTGTACATTAATACATTTTATACCTTCTAATGGTTTGATGGCCTCATATATCCAGTAACGCTGAGAATAATCATTAGATTGTAAGGAGTGCAAAATATGTTTTATCACTTGAAAATGGAATTCCTTCTTGAAAGGTAAAACCAGTGGTAGATCATTGATTTGAAAGGTCAGGGTTAAAAAGCTTATTAACGACTGGGTTAAGCTCTAGTAAAATTCTTTGTTTTACTCAGCTGTATGAAGCATTTAGCTAAGTGAGGCTCTTCATTAGGACATTAGTGCTTTTATACTAGCTGTGTAAGGTAAAAATCAGTAATTTCCAGCTTATGTTCAGGAAAATGCATTCCAAGTAGCACCAACTACTCCAAATAACACCAGACAAAGCATGGCCCTGGGCATAGTGGCTGCCAAGTCCATAGTGCCTGCTCTACCCATCCTCTGCTGGGAGCCCCGAGCAGGGTCTGAGCATGCAGATATATAGCACAGAGCAGCAGGCCGTGGGCAGAAATACAAGCATGGGTCCCAGAAGCCATGCAGTCATGTCAGGATGCCCAAGCGCCGAGTTAATTAGCCATGACTCCCAGCCTGGCTTTAGATTAGCCCAAGTACTGGGTTCATGGGGATGCAGTGCTTCTTGCCTCTGAGCTGGGGAGCTGCAGTGGGAGAAAAGTGCATGGCCCTATCTACAGACATGTCACAGTGTGTGGATGAAGGGTCTGTACCTTGGGGACACCAGTGGTACCAACTCAAGTGCCCTGTAACTGCTGTCCATCTATCCCAGCAAGGCAGGAGCAGGGCCATCCTCTGAGATGTTGCTCACTGGGGGAGATGGGTCACCAACAGACTGCTGTTTGTGAGGGTATTCTTTCTTTCTAAGCCCCCTGTCCTGTACACGGCCTGATTCTAACACGACCCTTGGTCTGTGGATCTTGTGTTTTGTTCACACAGTGCCTTTCAGGAGTAAAACTGCTCTTCTGTCGTCCTCAGGGCACTGTCCCTGTGTGGCACTGAGCATTGCCCCTTCCTCAGTCCCTCTGTGCCGGGTTGGGTATTCAATTTCTTCAAATTTCTTTTATTTTTAGCACTTCCTAGAAAAATGCTTGCTGTTCACAGAAAGAGATGCAGTGTTAGCCCACAGCAGCTGCTACCTGTGGCTAACCAAAAAGAGGGACCCAAAGCTCCATCGTGCTGCATTAAGCAGCCCTCTGTAATGTTTTTAAAGGAAGAAAATAACAATACAGCATATAATAGCCACTGCATGTGGTGCAGAATAACTGGGATACTCAACACTTTTCATATGAAGCAGCCGTGCCAACCCAACCGTCAGAACAACTTTAATACTTCACAGTGAAATTAAATCGCAGATTAAAACAGATGGTTTGACCATTTCATTACAAGCTGTGGTGCTTATTTGCTGACCATTGGCTGGTATATGTAAACACATAAAAAGCAAAAGAGCCCTTAGGTACAAACCATACTCTCTCTTAACTTTTCACTCATGGTTACAGTGTGGCTATGAATGTTTTGGATCCAGACAGTCTTTAAAGGTACTGCATTCAATTTACTTTTACTGATGAAAGGAAGAGGTCACAGAAAGTGCAGAATGGGTGGGAAGAACACAAGGGCTTTGCTATCTGTCCTGCCAACACATTTCAGCTGGCAGCATGATGCAAAGCCATGCTCAGCAGCAACACCCCAGGCTGCTTCACCCATGGCTGCAGGGAGAGGGATCTGGCTGCTCTGCTCTGGTGTCTCCATGGCTGATTTTGGATGCCTCTGGCCCAAAACCCCTTTAAGGGGACTTTATTTGTAGATTGCTGGTGCTGCTTCATTCCTCTGTTTGCTTATGTGACTGCAGGGAGCATTACCAGTAGCAGAGAGGTTTAATGAAATGTTTGCAAAGTGCTTTGATGTCACTGGCTGAAAAAAAATAATGTTGCTTAACTGCAAAATGTGAGCACCTGGAACAAGGAAGAGGCCTGTCGTTGAGCAGTCCCACACAGGTGTGTGTGCCCTGGTAAAGTAAATGGATGTTGGGCAGCTTGCAGCTCACTTGGACCGATGGAGAGGACAGCACCAGCTGCATGCAGCAACGTTGCCCCAGGTACTTCATTTTTCAGATGCTGTTAAACAAACAGAATTCTACTTTAAAAATAATAATGAACAAATCCATATATGTGTTTAGCTTTGGCAGCACTGAAATGAGTAGATGATGTCTCTTAAAAGTGTGACTGCTGTGCTTCCAGATGTTTCCCATGGCAGTTGGTCCTGGGTTAGGAATGATGGCTGGAGAGATATGGTAAGTAGGGAGTATGGTGAGCCAAATGCATTCTGCTTTACCTGTTTGTGATGTAGTAACATCATGAAGCCATATGAGCACCTAGAGAGAGCCCAATGCCTGCATGACCATCATGACCATGGATTAAGAAGGAGAACATCTCCCTTCACCATTGGTGAGTCCAGCAAGCCCAGTCAGCCCTGTCTCCAGGACTTGTGTCTGAGCCTGTGGGCCAGGGGCCCCAAAGATAAGAAAATAAAGTTAGGATTTCATAGCTTTAGGGAGAAAAAAATCTGAAGTTACGGTGCTAAAAGTCTTGCTAAGTTCTTGTGGCAATGAAATGGGAATTTCTAGGAATGGATACGCTCAGCAAAGCAAACAAGTAGGAGCTGCAAGCTGCTGCACAGTCCCAGTCTGTGCTGCTGCAGGCCCCTTGGAAATGGGAATTAATATTCCACACTGGGGCAAAGACACATTCATAGGCACTCACATCTGCATTACAATTTAAAACTCAGACTGTGTCCCTACAAGAGCTCTAAGAAATGAGCATCCAAGGAGGAAAGTGCAGGGGAAGGCATTAGCCAGAGTCAATCACCTCTCTGTGACACTCTTCTTTTAGGATCACAGCTACATCTTCAGACAGATAATCCTTGATCATTCTGCATTGCAGCTATCATGCAGAAGAGTTTTCTCATATAATAGCATATTGTTGACAACAAACTAGAAGAGAGATTTAAAAAAATTTTTTTTACAATGCCTAAAAGGGTATAAAAAAGAACTGTATGTTAAAAATCAGTATTTATCAATAGCCCAGGCTATAACTGAGGATTCACAGCATGGACACTGACAGAATGGAGACAGCATTGTAATGAAAAAAGCGTATCCATCATCAACAATACAATACTTACCGTGACCTAAGGTCAGGTTTGTACAGTTACACCAGATGTTAGATTTCAGCCGCCCTTTGAAATGAAAGAACACAATGGTTACTATTCCCGTAGTGTTGTGGATTTCATTAAACAACAGGTTTATCTTTCAGCTTTAAAATGTAGAGCAAGATTAGGATATTCGAACGTTTAGGTTACAGAAAGACCCGGTAAGCACAATGTGAAGTAGGGCTGGTGCTATCACACGCTGCAGTTTGGCACGCAGCAGCCAGCTCTGCCTGGTGGTAAAATTCAAAAGGCAGCAACGCAAAGGGTGCAATAAGAGCATGCAGGAGTGAAAGGAAAAGGGCTGGGTGCTCCCACATCAGCCCTGGTGCTGTGCTGGCCCCAGCTGGATGTGCTCCGTGGCACCGGGGACAGCAGGCGCGTCTGAACAGGGCTCGCTGTACCACAGCCTGCTGCCTCTGTTCTCTCTTCTCCGTTGATAACAGAGGAGTGGGGCCATCATTAGAGGAGCCCAGCCTGGAAGGTGGCTCAATTGTTCAGGATTTCCTTCAGTGACCTCTTCTGAACCTGCCTGTTCCCTCCCCGCGAGCTCAGCCCATTTCCCACATGGAGGGAGATGTTCCCTTGCGACACTGGCTCCTCTTCTGCCTTGTTTGTGTTATTTAACTCCCTTAGCACTGACTGTTTATGCATAAATATATCATTCAGACATAGAAAGCTATCTATCTTTAATTTAGATACTTATTATGTATATTACATAGTGCACGCTGTGTGTTACGTTATCTATTACATATGAGTGGTTTACATAAATACATGATTTAGTTACATATTATGTATTTATTACATAGTATGTGCTATGTAATGTACATATAATGTGTGCTTATATATTAACTATTCTATTGGTGTGGCTTATATACATACATATATAATTTAGATATTTACTACATATATTATGTGGTGTGTATATTATGCTGTGTGTATGTATATTATGCTGTGTGTTACATACACATACACACATAACCTGAAACTTCAATATGAACTCCACTCTGAAGTTATATTCTCATTCATTAATAATAATCATTAACAGTAATCAGCAACACTGAACATACTCAGATCTAATATAAAAGGTGAGGACAGACTTGGGGCAGGTGTGAAGAAGCCCCCATTTCTTCTGTCCTCTGTTTTCTTCTCCTCCCAGCTCTGTGTTTTTTTGTAAACATTTTCTGTTTCGGACCATGCAGGTAAGGCAGAGGAGCAAAGCACATATCCCAAATTATTTCATTAAAAATTAATGCTTTATAAAAGTGTACACATTTCATTAACTTCACATTGCACGCTTTGCAAATATTCTAAGGGATGCTAATCTCCTGGCTTTAATTAGATTGAAGGTCTCTTGCAAAGGCTATCATTTTAATATAAAATGAGCGATCTTTTAAGCTTTGTGAATTAGAAAACAGGAACTCCCATTTTAGATCAACTGTTACACCCTGAAACAAAAGAGTTCTGTGTTTTTGCAAAAAGTTAAGGTTTTTGCACCGCCTAACACAGAAAGTCAGAAGCCAGGCAGTGCAAATTTCCTTTGTTTCCACCCGGGGATGTGTTGCATACACTCATGCTGAGTTCCACCCCAACTCTTCCACCCCATCAGAGTGGCACCTGGTCCTGTTCTCCTTGCTCTGGTGGCTTTCTGCATGACGTCAGGGAACTCAGATCACCTCCAAATCGCCCAGTGACCCTCAGACAGAGAACTGTGTGGGAGAGAGGAGCAGGGCTTTGCCTGGAGCTGGATGGCTGCAGGGAGGCACCGAGGGGCGGCAGTAAGGCAGAGGGCTGCTTCTCACTGAGGACTGAACTCCTTTCAATCTGCAGTTGTTTTCTGCCTCTGTTCTCCTGCTATTATCCCCTGCTAGGAGACGAATTTTTATATTTCTGACCAAGACCCAATCTTCTTTCCCTTATCAAACATAATAGAAAGTGCTGTAGTTATAGAATAACAAACTCACCTCCTGGATAAATGTCAATCTATTTTTAAGTGTGGGATCAGCTCTGGAGCTCCCCATGATAACGTATTGCCTGACGCCAGCATGGTGTCCCTTCATTGCTGGTCTGACTCTCTTCCAGTCCCACACAAGCCACAGACATGGCCTTGATCACTGCCCTTTTACCTCTCCTAGCAGTACCCTCCTCGAGAAGGGGCTGGTCCTGTCCACCCTGGCCCAGAAGAGTTTTTCTTCTCCAGAACTTTATCCAGTTAATTTTAAACTACGCTGTGCAAGTGTACAAATCACCTGTGTAGTGGTGCAGTTCAGCTTTGTGCATTTTGCTGTTGGGCTTTTGGACCCATAAGGTGCTTTCAGACTTAACTCTGTCTTCTGTGGAGCAGGACTGGGAGGCTGCAGTATAAAAATTCCTTATAGTCAGACACAGGACAGGCTGCTAAGTGGAACATGAGTATGGAGAGGGACTTGTAAAAGCCCCCTTTATTTGTACTTGTGGGGAAAAGGCCTCCAAAACCATTGCTGGCATTTGTTCCTATCTGAGCAGCACTCAATTAAATAATATTTTTTTTCACTTAGTCATTCAAGCCAATTTGGCGTATAGGCTCTTCAAAACTAAGAGGGCTAAGCTCCAAGTCTAAATTTAATTAATCAATAATTGTCATTTTTAAACAATCATGATTTATACAAAATTGACCTCTAGAAAAAGAACCGACTCCATTAATGTCTGTGCTTAGCTCCCTTGCTGCGGCAGCTCTTTCTGCTGACAGCCTTTCTGGGCAAGTTTCCTTTAAGAGAACAAAATCCTCAACTTCATTTCTTCAGTTCCCTAATTTTGATTCAGAGCCACATCTTTGTTTAAAGGTTTATGTAGATAAACCTCAATTTTGTCAATCTCAATTTTGTATAAGAAGCAGGATCAACTTCTAATTTCCAATGTTAAATCCTAGGCTCTGCTTTCCACTGCAATATTCTCAAGATGACTATTCCAGGTTAGATCCCATGCTGGGCTCAACATTTAGAATAAACTAAAGAAACAGTAACTTCATTTACTCATTAAGACCACGGACTTGCTCTGAAGCGATCTACTACACTGTCAGCTCTCTGAGTTCAGGCCAACACACACAACAACAGCACGGCCAGTAACAATGACATTTGGGACTGCCCAAAATGCAAATCCACTGCTTTCCTACTGCCTAAGGACACACGAAGTAACACGTATCATCTTTTGTGAGAGTCCGTATGTGGATGAGATGTGAATGATCTTCCCACAGAGTGCCCAGCTGCTATCGTAACGGCTTGCTGCTTTAAGCACCCAGTGAGAGGGAAAAAGTCACTGACTCTCTGATTTCCTCCTGCACAGTATCTCATGTACTCCCAGTGCCACTTGCAGTATATACTACTAAGCCAGTGGCGCAAGCTTTGTGGCTACTGTGGCTGTTTGTTTTCCTACAAGCACTGATCCGTAAGGGCACAACTGGGGGGTGAGAGCCTTCAGTTCGAGCTCTGACTATAGGAAACCTGCTTCCAGCTCCCCTCTGTGCTGCCACATACCAAGGACGCTGCAGCCCCTTTTCTAGAGGGTACTGCTGGGAGACAAATACTAAAGCACAAGACATATTCAAGTATTATTAGGGCAGTGGTCAATGTGGGGTAAAGACAAAGTTCGAGCCGCTGATTTTGTTCTTTTGGGAGAAGACAGGGCACCCATTCTGCAGTGTTTAGGTGTCATACCCACGCAGAGTGAGCTCCCCTCTTACCACACCTCACCTCGCTCCCCTCTGCTGAGGCTGACCCAACAAACACGTACTCTGTACGTGCTGTGACAGGTGCTGCATTTGAGCAAATGTTAATGGACAGCACGTTAACTCTAAGCGGATTCATGTTGCTGAGTGCGTGTGCGAGTCTGCCTCTCTCGTATAAACACTCCTGACTCTCATCTGCTTTGATCAGTATCATTCACTTCTGTGATCCTCGCTCTTTTCCAGTGCCCTGACAAATTTTTGGTTCCACATCAACATCAATGTCTCGGTGGCTATCACCGAGGTTGAGATGGGCCAGCTCACCTCAGGATCACACCCCAGCAGTTCAGAAACGATCCGAGGGTATCACAAACCTTTTACAATGTGTGTATCAAATCCTCTGCTGAACTCCACATTTCTAAGCATCTCTTTGCTATGGATTTTTATGATCTGGAGTGCGCGGGTACATTTCTGCTACCATTGAGCAGAATAGAAAAGGACAGGGCAATGGCACAATTACACTCTTTCCTACTCACACATTCACTTCAAAATCTCTCTTGTTTAACCCTTGGGCAAGAAGGGAGGAAAGTTTGTGGCATTATCCAAACCAAGGTAATGTAGTAGAAAATTTGTGTTACTCTTAAACAAGAGAAATTTGCAAAGAAAAGGACTGGCATTATACTTTTTCACATGATCTCTGAATTTGACCCACATTCGATGGGCTGTTGGATATACAGTATTTGCGCTACGTTTTTCCTCCTTGTATTCATTACATTTGAATATGGGGACCAAATCCAAAGCTCCATGAACTTCAATAGCACTGTTCTGATTTCCACCAGATGAAGTTCTTTCTTTATATTTCAGAAGACATAAGAAATGCACTGGGAGAACCTCAGACTACACAGTCTATGTCTTCAATGTCTTTAAAATCCCTTTGCTGCAGGCCATTACCTCAACTTCTTTTTTTCTCAGTGGCTGGTTTACATCTTAGATACTCAAAACAAAAAACATTGGCGCGATCTGTATTTAAAGCACCAGCTTCTGGAAGTCGTGTTCACACTTGTGTGAAAGGTAGCACTCTGTTCTTTGGACAAAAAAATTTTCTAATCTCTTTCAACACCACTGAGAGGTTTTTCTTTCTCCTTTAGAGGCAACTGTAATGTGCAAATATTCTAGTGCTTAGAGAATGTATGGAAGTGTGTGTCTACACACACACAACTTAATCATTAGGCTCATTTTGAAACCATGTGCTCCAACTCATAAATAAAGTCTATTAACATTGAAATATTGATCAAAATCAGGGATTCCA